AATAACTATTCCCAACCGATAAAACGTCGTCGATATATCCAAATGCCAAGCCGAAGGCCAACAAAGGAGCACAACTAACGCCCACTGGAACTCCAACAGCCCGCCGGAAGACCTAGTTCCCGAAGACCACACAAGCATTGCCAATGAGGAACTCTAGCACCCTCCCAATACCAAACTCAGAGCACCTGAGCGCAGAACCAGAGTGATTTTCAACGAAGTAATTTTGTTGATGACCAATCACAAGATGTGAAAATTTCCAAGCTCCGCTCACTGAAGAGGTAGCTGTCTATGATACTAAAAAGCCTAGTTCCTAATTAACCGCGAGGAACGGCCGCACAAAGTGCAGAAAAGCCCCAGCTTTTGATGTTCTAGACATCTGAAAAATTTTGTGATTTCACTTTCCAAAAGTCCCCTAGAATCTTTGAGGATCCACATCGGATTCACACCACTTCTAGAGTACGACGCAGCACAGCACGTCCGAAGTTTCTCCATAACAGCAGTTAATATTTTGGTAAGAAGTAAATATAGGGGCTTGGTAGAGCACTAGCTGGACCGACAATATATCCCTGTCTGTAAGGATCCCTATGAAGTTTAGGAATTCAGTGTAGGTTGGGTAAATAGAACTCACCTTGGTTGACTGAATTGTTAAAAGTATGAAACACTGAAACGTGATTTTGAAGAATTTCCTCCTTGGAAAGTGAACTGCGAGTAAATGTAGGATTTCCAGACGTAGAATCAAAACAAAGTTCTTCCAAAATACAATTTTAATAATGAGCCTTACGATATTGTTACCAGCCTTGTCTGCTGGAACAATTACATATTGTTCATATAGTCTCTCTAGTTCTTGTATCTTCTCCAATGTAGTGAAAACGGAAGGATGAATTGTTCGCATTTTCCCTTTTAATTTTCGTATACGATTCTTTAATATGTATCTAAAATGATGATCAAGTTTAAATTTTTTGTGACTTTGAGTCTTCCAAAACACGTGAAGACCTTTGACCTTGATACCTGCACGGTGATTCCTTAATATATAAATATAGTATTTTGGTAGACATTTCTAAGACACCAATAAAGACTGCACCCTTTTCATCTTTCTCCACAGAGGCAATGAAAATTTTAAATCTACATATACACAGAAACACAGAAAACATCAGAGGTGGGATCAGGTGCCATGGAGAAGTAAGCCTCCCTCTGTCGACTGGTCACACTTACCTTGTGCCCCTTGTCGTGACTGGGAAAACAGGAAAATCCGTAGATAATTCAGTAGGAAAAAACTGGCCTAACCATTTTTATGAAAGACATTACTCAATATGCGACCTAATGACATTCATATTTGTTAACAAGGTCATTGTATCGACCATAGAATTTGCAAAAAGATGACTTTAAACGAGATTGTTGATACCCTTGTATCATTAGTTATTTGTCAGCAGCCTGCCTTGTTAAAGAAATTTTTCATATGTAGATCATGCTCTTGCGTATCAAATCAACTGGGAAAAAATAAACCCCAGATGCAGGTGATAATGGTGGATTGCTACATAAATAAGCGAAGTTGACGAAAGAAAAATTGAAAGTTCTATCATAAAGTTTAAAAGTTTTGCTTTCTCTAGTAAAATATCCAAATATAATGAAAATGAATATTGTTAATGTAAAAAACGTCATTGATATACCTTTATGTCGATTTGAAAGCCACAGCAAGAACTTCTTTTCATGTAAAAGTTTTTTTTTAAGAAATTCTGCTCCAATAAGAATGCAAAAACAAGTCTGCTTATAATAGAGCATGGTAAATTACCATGGATGTTCCGACAGGTTGTTGGAGGACCAGATCTCCAAAGACTATACACATATATTTTCAATAGGAAACCCAAGCATCGTTTTAATATCAAGCTCAGATATCTGTGTGTAGAATCAGAATGGTTTTTAACAAAGTAAGTTTGTGGATGACAATGAAAGATGAAATGTGGAGATAACGAACAGTATCAAGCTCATAGTCCATTTAAACATTACAAATAAGGAGCAGAGCAAACACGGACCTCTAAAACATCAGAAGTGGGATCAGGTGCCATGGAGAAATGAGCATCCCCTGCCGACCGGTCACAGCCGCCGTGTGTTCCTTGTCATGATTGGGAAAAAATTGAAAAATCCGTAGACAATTCAGTGTGTAAATAATGGCCTAACAATTGGTATGAAAAAACGTCAGATAGCATTTGACTTAATAATAGATTGTACTTGGTGACAAGGTCATTGTATCGTTCATAGAACTTGCGAATGATGCTTTTAAACGAGTCTGTTGATATTCTGGTTTCTTTGTTTAACAATAGCTTGCCACGTTTTAGAAATAGTTCGCGAAAATCCATAATCACAGATCCAAGCCCGGACATCTATCAGAAAACCCTTCAATTACTTAAATCATATTTTTCTGATGCAAATGAATAGTGAGAGAGAAACTTTTGATATAAAGTTATTTGTAAATAGTAAATACTTTTTTGTCTCATTGTTTAATACTTTAAACTAAAACATTGCTTTCTACCAAGAACTGGTGTGGATATGTTTTATAATGTTCTTGAAGTTTTTGTGGAAATGAATATTGGGCAAATTAACATATTCAGCTGGGGAAAAAGAAACTTTTTTGAAATGAGATTGGGACCTTTGAACGGCCCCAATTCTAGACAGTTGAGGGTTCTGTATCTTTTTGATATTTTTTCTGCACATTCTTAAATTAAGCGTTATACGAACAAGCATTTTTCTTATTCCCTGACATCGGGGTTTTGAGTTCAATCTCTGTCAGGGGAGATAATGGATATTCTCTCTATATATAAAAAGCCATGCACTATTTCGGCGAAGTATCTTTCGCTCTATAAATCATTGTTTTGAACAATAATAAAAATCAATTGTACACTATGCAAAAATAGCTGGGTACTGAATATAAAGAATAACTTACAGGCACCATAATAATAGCAAATACAACCTATCATTGGATCATATTTTGAATGACATATTTTATGCCAATTGTTTTAAAATCTGACTCCGCATTACTCCGTCTACCTGATCAATATACAGGGCTCACGGCGGGTGTGACCGGTTCGGCACGAGATATACTCATAGACATCTGATGCCACCTCTAGAATTTTTCTATTGTTTGTAGGTTTATTCATTTTTCTTCACCTTTCTCATTGATAATCTCCCTTTGATATTGATGTAACTACAGTTAAATCATCATTGTTCGTTGGGGGATCAATTTCCTTTGGTCACCTTTAAACATGAATTTACATGTCCATGAACGATAACTCGGTTCACTGAATTTCCTGTAATAAAAACTCGTTCCAAAATTACACCCCGACGAACAGGAAAAAATTTGATTGCCCACGAACATCGAACCATTTATATTAAATTGATACAACATTATTTTGATTGTCTTCTAACATCTCTAAGAATCTCTAACAATAGTTTTGTCGAGGCTTTTTGACATCATTGACAGGTGCGTTTTCAATAAAAATGGAACTCGTAAATTTACTTACCTTGTCATTGGTCGTTTGCAAAATTATTTTGTTAAAAAACATTCTGATTGTACACACAAGTACTCTGAAGTTGATTTTAAGAAGATACGAGTGTCTGATTGAGAATATCTCTGTGGCTTTTGGAGACCAGGTCTTCCAACAATCTGTAAGATTTCCCATGGGTACCAATTGCGCCCCGTTGTTAGCAAACCTATTTTTGTATTCATATGAAGCAGAATTTATTCAAAATCATATACATGAAAAAAGGAAATCCTTGCTGTGGCTTTCAACTCGACATTTAGATATATCGACGACGTATTATCAATTAACAATAGTTATTTCCATGCATATGTCGACACGATATATCCCAGTGAGCATGAAAAGATACCAGAGATTCTGACACATCTGTTTCATATTTGGATATTTTACTAGAAAAAGACGTTAATGGTAATCTAACAACAAAGCTTTATGACAAAACGTGATGACTTTACTTTTCAATCGTCAATTTCCCTTACTTATGCAGCAATATACCCCTATCACCTGCATGTCGGGTGTATATATCTCAGTTGATTCGATACGCAAGAGCACGCTCTACGTATGAAAAATTTCTAAAACGAGATAAGTTATTGACAAACAAGTTGATGAAACAAGAATATCAACAGTCTCATTTAAAGTCATCACTTCGTAAGTTCTATGGTCGACACAACGACCTTGTCAGCAAATACAATCTATCATTAAGTCATATGCTGACTGACGTTTTTCATATCAATTGTAAGGCCATTATTTACACACTGAATTCTCTACGGATTTTCCCGTTATTTACCGATCATGACAAGGGGCACACGGCGGGTATGACCGGTCGGTCGGCAGGGAATGCTCACTCCTCCATGGCACATGATCCCACCTCTGATGTTTTTGGAGGTTTGCTCTGCTCCCGATTTGTATTGTTTAACTGGACTTTGAGAACTTGAATACCGTTCGTTATATTACATCACTACAAGTCTGTTACAATTGTTCAGTTTTAACTTGTGCTAAATTGATATTTGCTGGCATTTCTGGTTATTTTGATTCGATTGATTCAACATTTTTCTAAGCAATGCCAAGTCTGCCATAACTTTCATACCTCTAAAGTCGCTACTTTAGTTTATTAATTTTGTTTCTAATCGTTTAAACTACGTTTATTGTTATTTGATATTGCGACAGGTGCCCGATTACTATACTCAATAAAATATCGTTAAAACATGTGATCTCTTAAAGAAATATCCGAGTTTCTGAGATACAGAAACTGATAAGGCCCGTGTAATTTCCGCTGTCCAACTAATCTCACAATCCTGTACATAATATGAAATAATAATGTGCATAATTTAAAAAGCACACTTTTTTATATTTCCATTTGAAATAAAAATGATTTGGAAGGTCAGTAAACTTTCAGACGTCTATTCTGTCGCGCACGGCGTTGACGGACTGATAGATTTACCGGAATTTTCTGTATCACAGTATCGGACAATGAGATCCTCCACAAGGTGTACTTTGATCCCTGGCTTTATTCTTCTCTATGTATTCTGTTTCGGAAACTCCGATATCAGTACACCAGGTAAGAATTTACTTATTTTTTTTCTCTCCCGGAATGAGCTGATCAAGCGTGGCGTTAAGTTTATCATGATTTTATTCTTTCTTTTTTGACAAGAAAACTTCAGACCGTATATTTAAGACTGAGCACAGATGCCCCCCGTTTTTTCTTTGTGATTTTCTATGATTATATTACTAAACTCTGATTTGTTATGATGTTTCATTAGCTTACTTTACTATTATTATTCTTACGTCACCCACGTGGATAATGGAGTATGAGCTAGGGATGCAAGGAATAATCGCCAATGTAATGTTTGGCTTACAAACTTCATAGAAAGGGGTTGAAAACTGCATATATTTCATCCATTTACACACTACAGAATGGTCAGGTGTAACCTTACCTGTTGTCAGTTCATGTCCCTTTCGTTCAAAATCACCTTTAGTAAATGATGATCTTTTGTTTAATACCTTCATCAGTGGGTCTAAATGATATTATGTTGTTTTATATTTCTAAAGTATTTTGTGAAAAAAGAGAAAAAGATAAACCGCGTAATTTTTATTACTAATGTAATTACAAAGAAACTGTTTTTTTATTGGTAGGTTCACATCCTGGTAAGTATCGATTCCGTCAGTTTGGTCACTGAGATCGCTGAATTTGTAGTTACATTAGTTATTCTATGATTGTTTCTTTTGTCTCCTCTCCCCTTACCACCACTACCCTTTACTTTAGTAAGTTTTTATTCATTGTTTTTCCCCCATTTTCATGCTACTGTAATATATTTTTTAGCAAGACCCTTATTTGGCAGTTTTCCAGTTACATGATTTTTTTTTATTATTCAAAGACCTCAATTCCAGTTCATATTTCAAACGTAAAGATCCGTGTAGCTGTTGATCAAAATATTTTGATGCCAAAAAGAATCTAAAGCTAAACAAAGATCAGGCTCATAGTAGCCATTTACATGTAGCTACCCTTTTTCAGACATTTTAAATTTGAAACTACTAGTAAGAATAATTTGCTTTGCACATTTGCTTATTGTTTCAAAATTAGTGAAACATGAAAGTCTAGGTTATTATAGCTATTTAGATAATCTAGCTTATGTGCAAGCTTGCAGCATTCAAGAACACATTGGAGCCACAAAGGTGAGAAACATCATACGTCACACAATCGTCGTCCCCCAATATGACCCATATTTGACCTTGTCTTTTGACCTTAAATTCATATCAATAGTTTTTCAACTACAGAAGAATGTATAATGTACCATTATTCGACAGCGACCCTCACATTTGACACTGGAGTCAAAATAAAAGTTTTCTTTTTAGAGGGGTGGGGTGGATACATTTGACTAGAATACACCTTACTTATCTTCTAATCTTAAATTATGGTATTTGAAATGTTGAGGTTTAATTTTAATGCATGTATAATGACTCAAAAATGACCTTGACATTTAACCTTAAATTAAAATGACCCACAAATGACATTGTCGTTTACCTTCGAATTAAAATTTGAATTTTTGTCAGCAAAAACTTCTGTTCATATTTTGTAGACTCGTGATGAATTATCTGTGAGTTTCATCATAAAAAAATGTTACGTGCCAACAGTTACTTCCATATAACTTTTGTCCTTTAAATAAATAAAAAGGGGAGACAAATGGTTTATAGTAAACTTAAACAACATTTCTAGTTGGGGTTAATTGCCTTCGATGAACATCTCTATGAGAAAACTGATTTTCTAGTCTCAAATATTAATTAATTCTCTGCAGTAATATTCCTTTCACCCAGGTTATTTCAAAGACCAGGAGGGAGATATTGCTTTTGGTATGTCCGTCTATTTATCTGTTTCCATCTCAGTTTGTAACTTGAAAGGTATGTAAGTTGTGAACACTTGTGTGAGATTAAGTTAAGGAAATGGTGAAAACTCTTATTATAAAGAGAATCTATTTCAAGAGACGTAATTCAAGGTCATTTGGAATATTTCAAAACGTGTCGTCCGAAATAAAACATGGCTACGATAGGGTATTCGATCATGCTGAGTAGTTCAGTTGAATTATATTCTAGTTTATTACATTTTCAAAAGTGAAATACTGTGATTTATTTATTGAATAAAAGTGATATTCTCTCACAGTGTGAAAGGATATCAAAGTGATATTCTCTCACAGAGTGAAAGGATATCAAAGTACTAAGTAAAAATAATTTCTGGTCTGTCATAAGATAGAGATAGTAACTATCCATCTTAATAGAGCTAAAACTGCCAATTTCTTCCCAAATATGTTGCTAAAATCCATGCTATGTAATGTTTTCAATCTCACAACTACCAAGCTATGACGTCTCAACCGCTCAACTATGACGTCAAGCCTATGACACTGTGTTAAGATAAGACAGAGGCTAAGGGAAAATCAAAGAAAATATAATAAACAGAAAATTCAATGATTTGTAGATGAATATGGAATTTATTTCACTCGTGAGACAGGATTTTTTGATATTTCCACTCGTGCTTCGCACTCGTGAAAATATAAAAAAATCCTGTCCCACTCGTGAAATAAATTCCATATTCATCTACAAAACATTGAATATCCTCTATTTATTCTTTTCATCATTAAGGTAACGCTGCGTATATTTCTCTTTCTAGTCTCTCGCTCATCGTCTATCGAAGTGGAGGTGATGAATTATACGGGGCTCCCTCTACCGGCGCCCATAGGTCAAAATATCACCTTGAAACTTAAAGTGACAGGTTACCTGCCTTCTGAGTGGAAGAATGTGACGTGCAGGTGGGAGATACTGGGTAGCACCACAGAGTGTTATAGAGTTCCAGATGAAACAGGAGAATTCATAATAGACGTGATGTCGAAAACTTCATTGAACCAAACTCCCGGTGTATATTTGCTTTCAGTATACGTCAATTTGGGACAGAAGTCGAAAAATAGAGCCATTCTTATTCGTTTCGAACACGTAAATGATCATGAAAAGGTTTGTAAAATGCAAAGAGAGAAATTCCTCTTGGTTTTATTTTTTTAAAGTGACAGTACGGCGCATCTCATCAAAAAACTGACTAGACAAAATTTTCCGACAAGATTTGGAATTTTTTTACTACTCATAAATGTATAAACTTTCAGAAAATTACAACTTTTACAATTAAATGATTTGGATTATTTCATTAAAATTAATAGTTATTTATGGGACGTAAATATATACATCGCAACGTGTTCGGGGTTCCACATTCCATGCTATGCACGCATGCGTAGTTTCATAAACAAAACAGCATGGTTAGAGAGGGAATCCCGGTAGGCCTGCTACATTGACAAAGTCGACCAAAAAGAAAAAGAAACTGAAAATAGAACTTGAAAAAGCAACTTTCCTGACTAAAATTTAGTTTGGGGATTAATAAAATCGCTGGATAAGGAAGAAACGGGAACTCGGCGACACTCACGCAGGGCTCTCGAAGGTTCTATTCGACAGGTTTGTTGATACTAGTTATCATTTCTCATTTTTCCGTCGCTTTCAAAGAAAAAAATAGTGTAAACTCAACATAAAAAATACATTTTTGACTTATAAACATTGTTGCCATTTGAAATGCTAATTTTTTTTAACTGTGCAGAAAAATACTTAGTTTGACATTTGGCGCGATAACGTATGAATAGTTGGTTTTTCCTTTCTCGGACCCCAATACACAAAACGTAAACATTTGTACTTTTAATTCTGTTAAATTCGCCTGAATGCAGACTAAAATCTTTACTATTATTATTTTAGATTATTTTATCAGAAAGTTATGATAATTTGTGTTTTTGAAAATTGCTTTCACCTAATATTCATTACAACTGTAAACTCTACAGTGTAGGCACGTGCCGTTTTAGAATTCACGTGGTACAAATAAACAGATCTAAGATTGCTCCAGTTCGTACGACCCTTGATTTTCCGACAGATTCTAATTACGTTAATTTTGTTTGAGTAGAGAATATTTCTGTTTCTCAAACTGCTTACATCAACTTTATACCTTATTTCTTAATGATATATTGGGTAAATTTGGATGAAAAAGCACACATTTTGGAGCCGTACTGTCGCTTTAAATTAAATCTTTGCACAACTTTATAATTATAAACTTTTGTAAGTATACAAAACAAATAAAAAGTTCTGTGTCAATTTCAGTGACAGAAAATATGGTATACAATATGAGACACAAAAAATTAACCAAATGTAATATACCATAATGTACATGTAAAAACTTGAGGCAAATCATTGTTTAAATGAATATTTATAAATGAAACAGAGATCAAAAGCTATTAGAGTTATCTCTCTTTATCAGAGGGACATACGTCCTTAATTATGAAATCTATAAATAAGATACATGTATATCCGAGACGAAGTTTAGCACTTATTGTATCCTCTAAGGTAAGTTACAAAATTAAGAGATTCGTCACACACGTGTGCAACCTGCAAGATAATTTATCTATTCCCGAGAACTAAGATAAAGATACAACTTCTATTTGGGATAAAGTTTGTGATGAGTCAGTTACACTGCTTTTGTTTGTTCAACATCCATTCGAGATTTTTCACTCATATTGAGACGCCACCGCTTGGTGGTGAAGGGCTGCAGGAGGCAAATTTAGACCTGTACTCGGCACTTAATGTTTTGTCCTTGAGCAGTGAAAGATCTTTTTCATGCTAGTACCTACTGCGACACGGAATCTCAGTTTATACGGTCTCATTCAAAGGACCGGTCTCCAGCAGATATATCAACAAGAAGGTACACAGGTATACAGGTATACAAATATTCACGATTGTAGTAAATATTTTATCATTTGGCACATCATTCACGTTTTACTGTGATGGTGCATTGTATTTAGTGTACTGAAATAAATCTTGGTATAATATATCAGATACTCTGAAATTGTCTTTCAGGAGTTACCAAAATTCCAGGTTGTGAAAGGGGTAACAAAGTTCAATGCTTCTGTAAACATTGGAAGTAACCAGTTCAACGAATGGATTCTACCCAATGCCTTTTGCTATGGACAATCTGTCGATCTGAACTTCAAAAGTGGATTATTCGTCTTGTTTTCTTCTAATGGAGTAAAAACTTTAGTTCAAACTTTTAGGAAACTCGACGATGATGTCACAACTTTGGCACCAACCTCGGAACAAACAAAAATTCGACTAAAAACTTGGAAACCCACAAATAAAGGGTTGACGACAACAGTCAATCAATTGAGCACAATGGCATCGGTGGGTTTTCCAATACAAACACCTTTACCCGTTCCCCAGAATACAACTTTTGAAGCATTTTCAGTATCACAGACATCCCACACTACGACTAGTCTGACCGCTACATATTCAACCCTTTTAAAGACGAACCCCACAACTTCCCAACCGCGGAGGAATATAAAGTTTCCAGGAGTAGAACTATATACAACAGATAACACGAAGTCCAATGTTTCCAGTTATTTTTTTATCATCTCTAATTTTTGCGGCAAGATACAAATCTGCATTAAATTTGGGGATGGTGTAGAAAAAACATTAAATAATTTTTCTCAAAGCAGAACCATTTCTCATGTCTACAACAGGACAGGAAACATGACGATTAAACTCAGTGTGTTTCATAGAAACAAACAAGAACTGACCATTTCCCGCTCTATTATGGTTCTTGATCATCATTGCTTTCAAGCCACACCGATGTTTGACATTCGGAATTCTGTACCATCCAATCCTTTAACGGTTTTCCTGTTCTCTGACATCATTATTAAAAGTAGAAAACAATACGATCATCAGTCAGATAGATGTAGAACCGAACATACGGATCATTTGACCTACTTCTGGAAAGTTACTAACACCGAGACAGGCGAGGAAACAAAGTCCAGGAGAGACCAACTCCCTCTGATATCACACACCCCGGGTTTGTTTAAAGTTTCCCTCACAATACAGGTTGGACAGTTTTCCACAACTGGAATTCTTTATATAAAGTTTATATTTGAACATCAGATGAATTTTCACAGAAGTGTTCTCTGTCAGTTTGTGAATAATTCCACCAGTATGGTGAATATCAATGTGGATGCTGAGATTCTGCCTGTCTGGGGTGAAAATATTTCATATTCCTGGAGGGTTGTAAGGTAGGTAATCACAAAACATAACGTTTAATCACAAATATATATTGATTGAATTGATCATATAATTGGGGATTTTCTCTTTCCCAAGCACTATGGCTAATGACAGACCATATTGTGTGTGTATAAAAATATAAATTGTGTGTCTTTGTTTGTTTGTTTGTTTGTTTTTTTTTAAAAACTAACCAATTTTAACCTTTTTCGGTATATAGCATCTTTGGCAACGAGTAAAGAAAGCAAAAGTTTGTGAAAATGTAGCCAGAGACCCAGGGGTTAGCACCAATAAAGTTAAAAATTTGATATTCAAAGGACACAATTGTTTACAGCTATTACCTATTATCCATTTTTCTTTGTGCAAGAAATGGCACATGGAATTAGAATTTAGATACCAGGACAGTGATTCTAAGAATGACACGACATAACTCAAGTATGAATCTTTAATAAAGGTTACATATATAGATCATATATAGATCGAAGTTTGTCCAGCAAGTTTCACCTCTACGGAGGAACATGTTATGTATAAATGAGGTGTTTTTTTAAGATTTTTTTTTTACCAAACTAATCATGTTTTGACAAGCATCTTTAAATTTGTGTTGAAATTAGAAAAAATTTTTAAAAAGTAATTATTCGCAAACCCGATATTTTTTTTCCTCCAGGGGTGGTCAAAAATGTACAAAATTTCCAATTTTTCTAAGCCAGGTTTCGACTATAATTTATGGTTCTAAGCCAGGTTTCGACTATAATTTAAACTCAAAATTAAGATTTAAAAACATCTCTTTGGGTCTTTTCTTTTGTTAATATCATGTGATCCTATGTAGCAAAACACGAAGATATTGGCGGTCTATATCCTGAAGCGTAGCGATTCCCAAGTGACCGTTCATGCCCATTTTGGGCCTATTTTTTTATTTGTTTACAGATACTCTAATCCTAACTTGATTCCTCAAGGATTTTCAGCTGCAAAATGGGTAAAATTGTACTACGTGAACTCTACAAAACTCACTCTCATTAACCCATTCCAAAGGATGGAGCGAGGACTTACAGAGATCGCCCTGAGGGTCAACTACACCTCATCAATAGAGTACATTTACCAGTTTGTGCTTGTTCATGACGGCGAACATGAATGCAACATTAAGTACGTGTTAAACTTCGTCACTTTAATTTCACACTGTACCTTTGTATGGTTTCACCTCTCAAGTGCGGGTTGGGGGCTTATTTTGTTACCCGAGTCCGTCGGCTTCGCTTTGATTTAGTTTCCGTGCCTTAAAGTTGCAACAGATTGACTTTGGATGTTCTTAATGTCCTTCAATTAACTAAATTTAGAAATTGGCAGTGCAATCTTGTTCGTCTCATGGCTAATTTACGGCAAAGTGAGAACAACAACGTTTAATATTCAAGTAAAATGAAAAAGGTGAAGATAGCGCATGTTATCGATCTTAAAAAAAATATATAAACAATACAAATCTGTGAAAAGGGAATAAAACACGAACCCCTTGAAATTCCAGAGGTAGGATCAGGTGCCTAGGAGGAGTAAGTATGCTCTATTGACTGATCACACCCGCCGTGAGCCCTTTGTATTGATCAGGTAGACAGAACATTTCGTAGTCAAATTCAGTATAAAAACAAAGGCCTTTATTTTTTTTTTTTTTTATTTCATTTCATTTTATTCAGGTAAAAATATCACAGAATGCCATGATTACATACATATGAAACATATCTAATAGAAAAAAAGACATTATCTAAGGACTATGCTGCTTGATAAAAATCATATACACATGTATATATAATATTACATTCAGTGTAATTTCCTTTATGAAATCCTTTTGGAAATCTGAAACATTTAAAGCCCTATAATACCCATGAAACCTTGTTACTGCGCGATAGAATACACGATAGGAACTACATACATTTTCAATACACTAGGAACACAAAAGTGTATGTTTGCTAGCGCGCACTATTCAACTTGTCGACAGGACCAGGTGCTGTCATACGACGGACGACCCCCCCCCCCCCAAAAAAAAGGATCCAATGTTTAACATCTCAAAATCTGATTAATTTCCTCCACGATGTCAATCCTGAGAGCCTAATCAGCTTAGATCAATATACTTTGATAAGGATATTTTGATTGAGTTTTGATTTTAATTGCATTTTCAGAAAATAGTGTTCAAATTTACACACACTCACACATAATTTTACACACACACACATATATATATATATATATATATATATATGACATGACATGTAAACATGACATGGGGAGGGTTGTAGCCCAATGGCCTTGGATGCTTGTTATACTTTTTTTTTCTTTCTAGATACTACTGCGTGAAAAATTGCGAAATTAGAACCAGTTTATCAAAGAAGTACGTAGCTAGGATGAATAGCATGAATAAAAACTGCATTGCAACAGCAAAATTACATGGAGTATATGACGTGTCAGATAGCAGAGACAATAAATCTGTATTACAAATGATCAAAGGATATCCATTGAGCAACGGAACAAGCTTAATGCACATAGGTAAAATCTCGTAAACCTATTTTGAAAATAATTTAAATGAAATAATAAGTCATAGAATTATACTTTTGTTCAATGTTTTAAAAATAAATTATATGAAATTTATTATGGCTATGGACTTTAAAAAATTAGAGGCTCTTAAATGTGTTTTAGATGGTTTTTCAAGAATAACTGTCTTTTTTCGGGGTATTTGATCGGAAGAATGACTATGCATATTAAAAAGTTCAGGAAGGCGGAAAATGTGACAGACCATACAAGGATTCGAAATTGGGTATCATTATCTCAAGACAATTGTTCTACCAACTAGGCTATCTGGCTACCGGCGAAAGAATTAAAGGAAGCAAAGCCATGTTTTATATTCAGAAATCCTTGTCATATCATATGTAGAAGAAAGGGAGAAAATGCGAGGAACCAGGCCAGGCATCAAACCCAGACCCCCTAAATCTAGACACTTGCAAAACTGATGAGGTTTCTTGCAATCGGAGGTTAAACCATGACTAAATGAAAATTTATTGTGTTCAGGGGAAAAAGGCAGTAATTGACTAATTGTAGTTATGCAAATGGAAAACCTAAATAAAAAAAAGACTTTCCATATCTGAAATGCTATGGCATGAATATTACCTTTATTTTATTTTTATATACATTTATTTTTTTTGTAGACCGGCATCATCTTATTGTACAGACAAATCGTCTTGCAGCCGGCAAGCGTTATATCCTGAAAATGACTACAGGTGACGTTCCTTGGCTTATTCATCTTCATATGAACAGCCCACCGACGGGAGGTTGCTGTGAAGTTATGCCCAAAGAGGGCAAGTTTTTTTTTTTTAGATTTGATATACATATGATATATATAAAGTGCTAGAGGTGCTTTGGTCTGAGTATGATTGTATCTCAAATTTGTGTGTGTGTCTGTTGTGTATCGCTTCTCTTAAAAAGAGGAAACAACTATGGTGTCCGGATAGGGCCATTTGCAAAAGCTCAACAGCGCGTTCAGAAAAACACGCCGTCGCGCTAACACACAACACGCGGTCACGCTAACACAAGTTTGCACACCCTGTCGTCGCGCTAACACACAACACGCTGTCACGCTAACACAAGTTCGCACAACACGCCGTCGCGCTATCGCAACTTTACACAACACGTTGTCGCGCTGTCACACAACTCGCTAACACAACTTTGTGATCGCGCGAATGCGAGTTGTGTGTTAGCGCGACGGCGTGTTGCTTGAAAGCGTGTTAGCGCGACGGCGTGTTGTGCGAACTTGTGTTAGCGTGACAGCGTGTTGTGTGTAATCGCGACGGCGTGTTGTACGAACTTGTGTTAGCGTGTTGTGTGTTAGCGCGACGGCGCTTTTTTCTGAACGCGCTTTTGAGCTTTTGCAAATGGCCCTATCCGGACACCATAAACAACGCATAATTAATTATTCTAATCTATCATTGTTAAAGCAGTCTCAGTTCGTTATCTTCATATATTTCATTGTAATGAATATACTACTTTACTGCATCAGGTTTAGTGCTTCAGACAGAGTTTATGGTAGTTTGTAGGGACTGGCGAGCGGGGGCGGAGGATTATAACACACCTCATCAACAAACAAAAGTCCCCCTGCTGTATACAGTCCGCTATAGAACATCCAGTAGTGATCAAGTGACGGTGTACCAAGGCTGTAGGTGTTTTCATAATTTCTGTAATTAAATATCATAAAAACAACAATTTTTAATGTTTCATTTCAAAGTATTTATTGTTTAAGATGAAGCGTCAACCCCCTCCTTTATGTTACCCTCGGGCGCTGCCTCCCAAGGTTACCGAGTCACAGTAGAGGTGGAAGTGGAAGACAGATTTGGCGACAAAACACAAACGAATGTAACCGTAACTGTCAAGGTATTCCAATGCTAAATAAATGTAACAAAATGTTACAAATAAAAAAATTATCGTTACGTATTACAGTCTGAGATGTAACAATGTAATTGTATATGTCAAGGTATGAACTTACCCAGTAATATGAAATAGACTGTATTAATGATATCTTTCAAGATATTCCAGTACTAGGCAAGATGTAACATTTTATTTTATCTTTAACATTACACATCATGTAATGAAAAAGGTGGAGCTTACAGTGATTAGTCTCAACAATTAATATCATTAAATATAATCATATAATATCATTTAATATACTTTAAAGAAGTAAAGAAAGAGTTTTGGAAGAACATTTACCAATACTTGATTCTGAAATGTATCTTTGTTAATTTCTAAAGGATTTTACGAGGTTTTTGAATCCAGCATAGATACGGTAACTCTGTAATTCGCCTCAGTTGACTGTGATGTTTAATGTATTTGAAAACGGATGAAACGTGACTTTGAAGAAGCTCTTCTTTTGGAAAGGAAATATGAGTACTACGGCCGGTCGACAGGGGATGCTTACTCCTTCATGGCAACTTATCCAACCTTTGTTTTAGAAGTCCATGTTTGCTTTGCTGACAAGTTGTATTGTTTAAATGGACCTTAGAGCAAGATTACTGTTTGTAATCTTTATATTTCATTTAACCACCCAAAGGCATATCTCCTCGTGGACAGTCTGTCACTTGTCGTTCGATACTTATTCATTCATAAATAGTACAAATAATAACGAAATTATACTGGCTGACGCCTCGCCATGTATTAAAAAAAAATTCACTCTTTTAAGGGACATTCAGTTGTTGTCCTTCGGACCATCCTTCGGGATATTAAACATATGTCATAGATAACCAACAATTCGTACAAAAAAAAGTGAATGAATGTAAAGTTTTCATTAGAGTTGTATTTGAAGAATCTTTTTCGGGATTATGTCGTCTTATTCTAAATATTCTGCCAAAAACTGTAAAACCTGTAGCGTTTTGCTTATAAGGTGTTATTTAATGGTTCTTACTGACAAAGTTTTAATACCAAACCGTGGGAAACCTGAACTGCAAATCTTCTAACGTTGTCAACGGAAAACAATTTACCCTCTGAGGATTTATTTATGTCTTCCCCACAACCGCATAAATTTACCTGATCATTCTGTCTTGTCAATGAAAATTAAAAATAATTAAAAGTACATCTTTCCTTAGACGACGAGAAGAATACTTGACAAGGAAACTAGGCACTGTTTTTCTATATGGTTGCAATGATAATATAGATAGTGAGGGGAATCTTTCAAGTCCACATTGTAGCTATATGAATGTGAAAGAACTTTTCAACAATACACAGAGACGTACAAGCGTAGTCATGGCCATCGGTCTTACAATAAATCTAATACACACGATATATCTCTTTTGATTCACGAATATGTTACGTAAATAAATAGACAGATCTTCATCACATCCGCACCAAACTTTACTCCGTCCCTTTGAAAGTTTAAGTGGTCTATTTGAAACAGCCATTCATGGTTGGATTCTTCGACACCAGAGTACGGGATGGGATCTGGGATTATGGATATGCTAATCCAGGCTTTTTAAATCGCAACGATTTATGGAAGAGAACACTTCTCAAGTAACCCGTTTCTTCTTTAAACTTAAATGTGCCATTAAAGGAATAGGCGCAATTAAACCATTTAATGCAATTCTTAATCATGAAAAGGTCCAGTCTTATATTCCACCATGTTTCAAGTTGAAGTCCACACCTTGTATTTCTTACAAATATTCATCGACCATTGCTTCCAAACTTTTTACTTACAAAATCTAACAGAGCCTAGATATCGACTATCTGAAACAAAATCCTCCTACGTATTTATGTTCTTCATGTCATTACTGGTGAATATCATTAACTATGAGGACCTTAATTCACTTATTTTAAAAGAATTGAAATTTACAGAACCCAGATCTTTCAATTGGCGACAGAATTTTATAATTATAATAAATTCTGTCGGAAATTATGCCAGACGATGGGTTAATTATGAAGAAGACCCTGACACTGTTTTCAGAATGGATAAAAAGTAAAAGGTGGATGTTAAAATCTGTAAAAACGATTGAGGGACAGTATGAGAACCATCTGTCCTTATGTATTCAATAATTCAGAAGTGGCTAAAGAATTATCCAGATAACATAACAATTGTAGGTACTGGTCCCAGCTGACATTATCTTTGTTTGTAAGGTGCATTACCAAAATATTTTGAATTACCATTCTATATTGGATTAGAAAAAATTTATAAAATTCCTTACAGAGATATAGCGGGATCAAGTGAATGTTCTATCAAGCCTTTCTTTCCTCCCCACAAAAATATTAACAGCAGTGAAGGAAAAACTTCTGCAGTACTGTGAAACAACATATTCGAGAAGTGGTGTTCATCAGATGTTGATACCTTAAAAACCCCAAAGAACTTTTAGAAAATTTGAAATCACATTTTTTTTTTCAAAAGCGATAGCATCGAACGTATGAATTCTTACGAATGAAGTCAATATTTTTGCAAATTCTATGGTCGATACAATGACCTTGTTTGAAAATATACTCTGTCGTTAGGTCGAATGTTACCAAAAGTCTTTCATACAAATTGTTGGGCCATTATTTTCATACTGAATTTACTTCGGATTTTCCTGTTTACCTGATAATGACATAGAACACACGGCGGGTGTGACAGGTCGACAGAGATTACTTTCTCCTCCATGGTACCTGATCCCATTTCTGTTTTTAGAGGTCCATGTTGGCTCTACTCACAATTTTTATTGCTTCAGTGGACTTTGAGCATGATGGTCGTTACCTTAATATTTCAACATCTATTCTAAAAAGTGTTGACGTTGATGTTTTCCCTTTCGTATTCAACCCAAGTTTGGTATACCCCTTTTAGTACCCATATATAAGGTATAGTCAGAGATGTCACTCTTGTGTTGACATATACTCTAGAGCTCCGAAAACATTAAATATTTAAGATATAATACCCGAGTCGAAGGAAATGCTGGAGAATATACCCCTTAGTCTCGAGATTTTGTTGGCAAATAAAAACCTAGCCCAAAGGGCGAGGTTTTTATTTGCCAACAAAATCTCGAGACTAAGGGGTATATTCTCTAACAATTCTGACGAATCTGTTGAAAATAGCTCGTTTTGGACGTCAAATGTAAAAATATGATGCAGGATATACAAAATAGATGGTAACTGTCTTGAAATATAAAAGGGTTGAAAACATGGAGGGCTCGGCAGGCCTCGTTCTCTATCACGTTTTCTTATCCTCGCTTAAATATCGCTTATATTTCAAGACAGTAACCATGTATTTTATATTTATCCTGCAACCACCCCTTGCATTGACCTAATAAAGATAACCTAATAAACCAAAGATTAATTCGGTCAATGCCCTAAAGCCTCGAGCTGACCTATTGACCTTTCGATGCCGGACTACTTTGTTTACTTAGCGACAAAATGGACGCTGACGCCTTTGACCTCCAGTTTGACGTAAACAATGATGAAGAGGTGGATCAAAACACTTTAAGCGACACGCATGACGAAGGTTTGGCCCCTCCTGTACCACCCGAATTAATTCCCATCCTTGATATTTCTTTCGATGAAAATTTATCTGATATTTTGAATGACTTGGAACAAAATCCGTCTGCAGAAATTTCAGAATCAGCAAGGCCTACCGTACAAACTGAAGTCCGAGTCAACAATGACCCTCAGTTTATTGATTTGAAATTTAACGATGTTGAAACTTTCATAACTAATCAAGAAAACTCAAACACAATTAAGAAAACTCTAAAAGATGTGAATCTTGTCAGAAAATTCCTCAAAATGAAAACCGCGATTTGAATGAAATTCCGTGTGACGAATTGGATCAGCTTTTAGCAATGTTTGTGTTGTCAGTAAGAAAAACTGACGGTCAAGAATACGAACCAAGTTCTCTCAGATCTATAATAAGTAGTTTGGACAGAAAACTAGGACGACAAAAATATGTGCATAAAATCATGGATAGTCAAGACGATTCCTTTCGTTTGACTCGCGACGCCCTAAAAGCAAAACAAAAAAATCTGAAAAAACAAGGTAAAGGCAATAAACCAAGCAAAGCTGAGGCAATTTCAGACGAAGAAATAAACATATTATATGAAAAGAAAATCCTTGGTAATGAAACCCCCGAGTCCCTCTTGTATACTCTCTGGTTCAATAACTCTATTCATTTCGGACTACGAGGAGTGAGCGAACACTATAATTTACGCTGGAGGGATATTAAACTCAAAGTATCATCACATGGGACAGAATATTTAGAGTATAATGAAAGGCAAACCAAAACACGAACAGGCGACAATATTGTTGACATACGCCAGGTCAAACCCAAAATGTTTTCTTCTGGGGATATAAGAGATCCTGTTCAATCTTACAAACTGTACTCGGCCAAAAGACCTCTTGGATTTTCTTCGGATGAAGACCCTTTCTATCTTTCAAAACGCACTATTCCTCTAGATGACCCCAGAAGTGATAAATGGTATTTAAAACAAAAAGTTGGGGAGAAAAAGCTCGCATCCTTCATGAAAGAAATGGCTGTTAAAGCCAACTTTACAGGGAAAAAACTAACAAACCACAGCGCGAGAAAGCATCTTATTCAAAAGCTCCGTGATTTGAATGTCCCACCAACAGATAAAATGCAAATAAGTGGACATAAAAATGTACAATCTGTCTTAAACTACAGCTCTATTACCGAAAATCAACAGAGAAAATACTCACACATTTTGAGCAGCACTTCAGTTGATCCCAGGCCTAATCCTACATGTACGAGTAATTCACAATTTATACAAAACAATGCAACTGAAAATTTCAATTTACAAGTGTCGGAAGCCTCTTCATTCAGCCAGATGAATTCCATGTTCTTTGGGGCGACACTTCACATCCAGAATTTAAACATTTACACTGGACATCAATCATAAATTCACAATAATTTAACTTTCGCCACTTTGTTTTCCTGCGGTTTTGACACTGTTACAAATTTACGTCATTTGTTTACAATCTACTTCAAAATTACATTCGTCGATTATTGCTAATTCAAATAAAATTTTGATGATATTTTATTTAATAAATATCTCAGTCAATCATCAATTTTATCTTTGTGCTTCGTTTTACTACATTTTTTACAATCTGTGTAGACTTACGTTATTATGCGGAAGGATAAATGTTTCACGCTTCAACCTAGCGGTGATGCGAGCTCAGCGCAATAATATAACGAACACGCAAAATACTTTGAATTTTACTTTTTTACCAATTTATTATTTGAAAAAAGTTGCAGGATAAACAAAATACATGATAACTGTCTTGAAATATAAGCGATATTTGGGCTCGGGTCGAAAACGTGATAGAGGGCTCGGCAAGCCTCGCCCTCTATCACGTTTTCTTACCCTCGCCCAAATATCGCTTATATTCCAAGACAGTAACCATGTATTTTATATTTATAGAGAAATGCAGAAGCTAGATTTCGACGTCATCGTAAGTGTCTTTTGACGTCACAATTAAATGCTATCCTCGTTCATTTTTTTTTCTCAAAGATTAGATAAAGAGCGTTGTAATCCTAACCCAAAGTAAATTTTTTCCCACGAATTTGCGTCACAATCAAAGGATACATCTATCCTTTTCCTAGTGAAGGCAGTCACAATTAGAGGAAATCGATTGTTGATGACATTTGTGATTTATTGGAGAATAATGGTGGCGGCACCTCTTTGATCTTTGCGATAACCGTAGTAGAATTTAAAAAACGCCTTGTTATATTGTTTTTCTTCTGAAGTCACTATGATTTGTTTGATCAAACATCGAATGTTTTAATGTTGTAGGCAGGAGACGATAATTATAACAGAGAAACCTATATTGATACTTTATGCCGGAACCTTCTAACCAAACTTAAGTACAGCCAGAATCCTGATACCCAGATGCATGCCATCCATATTACAGCCAACGAGCTCAGCAGAGTACAGTTCAATGTAAGATTTGAACACACAAGTTATAATACAGACTTTTTCTCCTTTTGCTCCATCAGATTCTTCGGTATTATTGTTCTGTAATCGTCTTTCTCTAGATTGTCTATGCTGACAGTGCTTTTCTATGTTGCAGGACTCTTTTCCTAACATCAACGTCTCAGGGTTAATGAATGCAGACATTTCAGATCTGAGAGCGATGTTGGCTTTTGCCAACTCGTCCATTTTAAAGAAATTACAACAGGTAAAATAAGGAACAAGTATAGAACTTAATCTGCAAGTAGAAGAACCAAAAGCTTGTTTTCATTCTTATTTTCTTCAGGGAACTAACATTCTATCCGAGTCCACTCTCAATTGGATATCTAAGTTTTCTTTGGGATCTCCACATTATGAACAAAGCATGCTTTCCGATAAAGAAGCATGTCACATGTTGCTTTTGTCCATGGACAGCATGCACATCTACACAAAGAATCCGGAGATCACAACACCCAAATCTATAGTAAGTATATCATCGTCGAATGGGTTTGAACACATTGGTGAATCTGTTACCAATCCATAGAAAATTTCCTGTTGTCTAAAGAATTTACATGTTACACGTTTCTGGAGGAATACAATGCTTGATATTACATGTAACATAACTGAACAGATAACCACTGTGGATGCACTGAGAGTGCTGCTTTCTGATGACAGCCTGCCAAGAAGTCTCCTCAGAGACAAGGACAAAGCCATACAGGCCATCACTGGTATAGTATTGATCAAAGGAAGAAACATTTTGCATATTTGATTTTGAATCCCCCTTCTCTCTCTCTCTTATATGCTGTTTTGTAATTGTATAGGTCTGCTGAAAATCGTTGACACAGTATTACTGAGTAGTTACTATCATTACACGGACGATTTGGATGAACTAATGACCTTGAATAAAGAAGAGCTAATTCAGGTGGAGAATGTTTCCACAACTTTTGTAAGAAAACGGTTAATTAAAGATTACATGCTATCGGAGAAATATCAAACAACCAAGAGGATGAAAATGGTTAGTGACGCCAAACAATCTTAATTAATTAAGTGATATTATATACGTGGCGCATAGTAAAGGTAATGTCGTCTGCAAATTTTTTTAAAAATTTTTTTAGCTAGAGTCCTTCGCCTCCATTTTGATGAAGTCATTGGATGCGATAGAAAAGGCAATGACCACCGCTGAAACAGGGAGGAAACTATCGGTGAACCGTACATTAGTCTCTGTTGTGGTGGAGAGGATCGAACCTTTGTCATTTAAGGATTACTCCGCCACAGTTGGTGGGATTAATGTAGAACTGCAAGCGGAAGGAAATCAACACAATGACGTCAATATTTTGGTAAGAATTCTTGCTTCATAGGTTGTTCGAAAACTGTTCAATCTAGATTATCAACCACGTGAAACATAACTCTATTCATGATTCAACACTCAAAATTCCAGATTGCAGCATTCAAAAGATCTCCGTTCCCAGTTTTGAATGACACTTCATATGGTTGGTCTGAAGTCCTGGTATTGAAAGGTAATTTTTCCTGCAATATCACAGCCCGTCTGCGGAACAGGAATGTAGACAACTTGCATAAAAGTTGGTTTTTCCTTCACTCTAATATGACCTTTTACCAAGAATTTGCTGTGAGCATGAATGACCTCACGATTATTCACTTGGAACCGGAAAACCTCACGGATTTTACAGATTGGGAACTTTACATAAAAGGAGGAGCCCGTCCAACTGAGGTAAACTTCGACATCAAATTGGATATTGGAAAACATCAGACCAGCTTTAAAGTCCCTTCTGGAATAATCTCGCACACCAAAGGATACTTAATGCTTAAAAAGAAAGGTATCTCGCTATGTCCTCTTTTTTTTCATTTTTCAATCAAATATAAAGCTGTGTTCAATGTTATTAATATGTTAAAATTTGTTAGAAAAAGAGGATAGAAGACGCAAGGCTAGGGATGCTGTTGAGACCAGAATTAAAAATAATGCCGAGAAAGGTGTCATTCTGGCTACGATTGGTGTACAGGTCTTCACTATGGGTTGTCGGGCCAGGTCATTCACGTCAGCATCGTGGATCACAGGCGGATGCAAGGTTTAATATTAAATACCGATTTCAGAGATTAAGATTTCAATATAGTGTAACAAACCTTTTTTTTAAATTGTTAGATTGGAGATGAATCATCAATCGAGACTACCGTCTGCCACTGTCCACACACTTCCGGTCAGCAGAGCGCTTTCACATCCACTTTCTACGTTCAACCGAACCTGATTGATCGCGTCGACTTCTCAGACTTTGACGTCGACAACGCTGCAGTGTATGGGACGTTGATTGTGATGTTGTGTCTTTATATTATCCTGGTCATTATACTCCGAAAACAGGATTATAAAGACGCCCTGAAGGTATAAATCCTCTTAGCAATTATTCCAAGATTTTAATGCCACTAACTTTAAAAAAAAAAATTTAAATCCTAAGTCCAATGTACTCGCATACACTTGTTTTCAATGTAAAATGAGGCTGCTGATGGGTGTTAACAAATTTTTAGTTTCTCCATTGCCGGAGTTCTGATCACATTTTATCTGTAGTCCGTCTTTTTGTAAACTTTTCACATTTTCGACTTCTTCTCCTGAAGCAATGGTCCAATTTCAACCATACTTGCCACAAAGCATCCTTGGGTGAAAGGAAATCAAGTTTGTTCAAATAAAGTCCCACTCCCCTTTTCAAGGGGAAATAATTAAGAAATAGTGAAAATTTGGTGGTATCTTCTCAAGGACCACTGGGCCAAAAAATAGAAACTTATGTAAAACCTTCCTTACATAGTGTAGATTCAAGTTTGTTCAAATCATGACCCCTGAGGGAAGGATGGGGCCAAAATGAAGGATCAAAGTTTAACATAGGAAATGCATAGGAAAAATCTTAAAAATTCTTCTTCTCATGAACAGCAAATCCATGATTGGTCATATTTATATCGAAGCATCCTCAAGTAGTGTAGATTCAAGTTTGTTCAAATCATGACCCCGAGGAAAGGGTGGGGCCACAATGGACGATTAACGTTTTACACAGGACTACATAGGAAGAATCTTCTTCTCAAGAACAGCAAAACCATGATTAGTCATATTTTTATGGAAGCATCCTCCAGAAATGGAGATTTAAATTTCATCAAATCATGATCCCCGGGAATAGGGTGGGGCCACAATGAACAAACAAAGTTTTACATAAGAAAAATCTGTAAAAATCTTCTCGTGAACAGCAAAGCCATGATTGGTCATATTCATACGGAAGCATCATCAGGTAGTAAAGATTCAAGATTATTTAAATCATCAACCGCTGGGGATCGGGCCGGGCCACAATAAAAGATAAAACGTGTAGGAAAAAAAATCTAAAAGCCATGTTTAGTATAAAGAAATATGGAAGCATCCTTAATTAGTTTAGATTTAAGTTTGTTCAAATCTTGCCCCCCCCCCCTTTTTATGGGTAGGTAGGGACCACTTATAAATGTAATGTCCTTTTCAATACTGATTTCCTACCCAAAGTGCTCAAGTGAGCGATGTGGCCCATGGGCCTCTTGTTCTAATTACAATAATCTATTAAACGTATTTGAATACAGTTTTAGCATTTAACTCCATTGGAAATCTTCTTTCAGTGGGCCCCTCAGTTCCTTTGTGATAATGGTGAGAATGACATCTACTTTTACATGATAACTGTATACACTGGCATGCGCAGAGGTGCCGCCACGATGTCAAACGTCAATTTCATTTTATCGGGAGAGGATGAAGATTCTGGGATACGAATATTGAGCGGAAGTTCTCACTCTGCAAGTTTTAATCAAATCTCGGAAAATCTTAATCACCAAATAATAATTTTCTTACAATAATACCTTTAGGAATACTTTATTCCTCAAAAAACTCGACTGTAAATGGAGTGTTTTTGCTATTGTATCTACAAAAAAGAAAATCAAAAGTTCGTAAAACTATAACCCAAATATCTCTGTCCCCTCTCCCTATGTACTTCGAGGTGAATGAAATATTCGAATATCAGCGGAATGTAACAACTGGATTATTTGGGTTAAGAAAAAATATCGTTTTATCATTTGAAGAAGTCTCAAATAGTATAAGCTTTCCTATCAAATATCCTGCTAAATTTTTAAGAAGGACACTTTCAAGCCGTTACGCACAGGTAAGGGAATTCCATTGCAAACATTTATTGACAAAGATGTACTTTGTTATTTTCCTAGGGTTTTGAAGCTGGATCTGTCCGTAGGTTTATTGCCAGTTCAAGATCAAATTTTGGGAGACTGAATTATCTCCGAATATGGCATGATAACTCAGGACCGGGCAATACAAAGTCCTGGTTCTTAAACAAAATAGTTGTAGATGATTTGCAAACAAAAGCAAGGTATGATATATTACATAAAATATGCATATACGGCGAGTTTTGTATTATTTTATATGTTTACTTAATTGTAATTTATTGAAGATATATATTTCACTGTGGGAGATGGTTATCACTGGATCGTGATGACGGTAGAACAGAGAGGGTTCTTCCTGTCTGTACAATGGAGAATCTCAACAGCTTTAACACTCGGTTTTCGGAGCAGGCTCAACTCAATCTCACTGACAGTCATCTTCTCGTGTCTACCTTGATTCGTCCCGAGAGCAGCAACTTTTCCCGCGTCCAGAGAGGATCTTGTCTGTTTGTGCTTATGCTGCTGACAATGATCAGTCATGCCATGTACTTCAAAGAGAACGCTATTGTATCAGCAAGTCAAGTTAAGATCGGTAGTCTGGACTTTTCCTTGAAGGACCTCTACGTGTCTTTGATGGTAGCCTTGATCACTACTCCACCAATTTTATGCGCCTCGTTTGTGTTTAAAAAAACATCCAAATCTTCGTATCATTTAAGCAGAATCTCTTCAAGGAAACGATCAACAACATCGGAAAAGTACACTTCAACAGATACAGATGTGCCCATTAATGTAGACTTGACCTCAACATTTGATACAGAAGTGACTTTGTTCCCAAAATGGGTACTTTATTTCGCTTGGTTCCTACTGTTTGCTTCTGCTGCGGTTTCCTCTTTCTTTTTGCTTTTGTACAGCATACAGTGGGGCAAAGAGAAGTCGACAAGATGGCTTATCAAGTTCATTTTGTCTTTCCTGGAGTCTATATTTATTGTGGATCCTGGAAAGGTACTTAGGGCTTTATTATGCCCCTGCCTTAAATTGGCTGGGACATATAGTGTTACTTTGTTCCGTCATTCCGTCATCATTCACTTTCCGTTCATTATCTCTGCAACGGTTGCACACATTCAACTCAAATTTGACATATCAATACGTCTTAGAAATACGCATGTCAAGTTCAAATTTGGTCATGGTCCGATGATATCTTTCTTGAACTTAGGGAAAAAAATAAGAAATTTTCAGTTTCCGCTCTCTAACTTTTGTAGGGTGTATGTATAAGGTTGAAATTGCATATGCAGACATTTTATCAGAAAATACAGGTCAAGTTTGAATTCGGCCATGGTCTGATGATTTTTGACAGAGATATCTCTCTTGAACTTAGGAAAAAACAAGAAATTTTCAGTTTCCGCTCTCTAACTTTTGTAGGGATGTATGTATAAGGTTGAAATTGCATATGCAGGCATGTTACCAGAAAATATAGGTCAAGTACTAGTTCGAATTTGGTCATGGTCTGATGATTTTTGACACAGTTATTCCTCTTGAACTTAGGAAAAAATAAGAAATTTTCAGTTTCCGCTCTCTACCTTTCTACAGATGCATGTATAAGGTTGAAATTGCATATGCAGGTACAGGTCAAGTTTGAATTTGGTCATGGTCCATTGATTTTTGACAGAGTAATCCCTCTTGAACTTAAAAATAAGAAATTTTCAGTTTCCGCTCTCTAACTTTTGTAGCGATGTTTGTATAAGATTAAAATTGCATATCTATGTATTTTTCCAGAAAATACAGGTCAAGTTTTAATTTGGTCATGATCCGATGATTTCTGACAGAGTTATCCCTCTTGAACTTAGAAAAAATAAGAAATTTTTAGTTTCCGCTAAATTTTGAAGTGATGTATGTATAAGGGTGAAATTGCATGTGCATTTATTTTACCAAAAAAAATAGAGGTCAAATTTGAATTTGGTCGTGGTCCGATGATTTTTGACAGAGTTATTCCTCTTGAACTTAAAAAAAAATAAGAAATTTTCTTGAAGGGTTGAGAATTGAAAGGTTGAAATTGCATATGCAGGCATTTTACCAGAAAATACGGGTCAAGTTCTAATACAAATTTAATGCTAAATATTTCATTTGAAATTTTGCGTGCTTGTGGGGGCATTCGTGGCGATAACGACACATCTAGTTTAGTTTAAAATCTTTTTAAACTATAATTTGAATTTTTAAAAGACTTTTAACGACACATCTAATTTAGTTTAAAATCTTTTTAAACTATAATTTGAATTTTTAAAAGACTTTAATATCCTTTTAACAGATCATTTTGATGGCCTTGATGGTTGCGCTGTTTTTAAAAAACAAAGAAACGCAATACAAATTGAATGTCGATGTCCACCATCTTCGTCGTTTGGCAAAAGTCTTCTACAGCAATTACAGTGGATCTTTAAATGGTTATCCTGTTTACCATTAGCAATTTTTTAATTTAAAAATGAAGCATTCTTTTTTTTTTTGTTTACTGTTTTTTTGTTGTTGTTGTTGTTTTTTGTTTTTATTTTTTTTTGTCAATCGTTTTAAGTCCATGGTGAAATAAACATTGTATTGCCTTTATAATTAAGTAATGAGAAGACAGATCCTGGGTAAACACGAGCCAGCTTTACCTCACGATGTTGAAAACTTTAAGAACAGACGTCAACAGGAAGTCAGGGCCAGGGGTGTGTTTATAGAACTTCTTACATATGGAGTCTTTGCTTTCATTATGTTCAGCATTAGTTATATCCACAAAGACCAGAGGTCATTTCTACTGAAGCAAAACGTCCATAATATACTTGTCAAGGACCCTGTATCCTACAACAAATTTGCAAACGTAAGGAAATACTATATATTAGTATGAAAATCGCCTAAAATTTATTTGAAACGTTGTTCATAGTTATTCTTATATTTCTTTTTCTTAAATGTCTGATGTCATTCAATTATATTTAGGTTAATAAGACAATTGACTACTTTAACTGGTTAAATAACACGGTTGTACCGCATCTCTATCCATCACGTGACTGGAGTAACAACTCCTTTCCTTCCGCTCCCTGGGTAGGGGACCTCGTCAATATCAGAGTGGGTACCGCCAAACTACGACAAGTTAGAGTCACGGAGGGTAGGAAATATCCTATTTTATAGCATTAATTTAAATATTTCTTCACTTATCCGTTTGTATAAAGGAGGCAGTGTCAAAATAGTAGGTATGTATTTTATTAGAATTATTGAAAATTATTTGAATAATTTGTAGTGGGGCTTAAATCTGTCATTTAATTTCAGAGCCTTGTATTTCATACATATTTCATATTGTTCGCCCATGCATACGAGAATACCAAGATAAAAATATTGAAACCCGAAATTTTTACCCGTATTGGAGACTCCAAAAGAGTTTGTCTCGAACACCACAGTCTCTCAGACGTGCTTGGAAATATTCATCTGAAGATGAAGGGATAGATGTTCCTGGTGAAATTCACATGTACAAACCTGGGGGCTACGTAATTATGTTGCCGAGGTCCTTGACAGAGGCACATGACCTTGTTCATCATTTGGTCGAGTACAGATGGGTGGATAGACATACTCGAGCCTTGTTCCTGGAACTCAACCTTTACAATCCTAACATAAACATCTTCACGTATGCCATGTTTATTGCCGAATTCATCGAGACAGGTGGGATTTTGCCCTGGTCCAACATCTGGGTTTTCAGGCCCAATGAGTTTACCGGTGCGCTAGGAACATATGCCCTCCTGTGTTATCTTGTTTTTCTAATATTCTTATGCTTGGGAACCTTCAGGGTCATAAAAGAATTATATCAAAGGCGACTGAAATTCCTAAAACAAATCTGGAACTTGGTTGACATGACCTGTATTGTTCTCAGTTATATTGGAATAGTCGTCTTTTCAATTCGTTTAGACAAAGCCAATGAAACCATACCAAAGGCCAAAGAATTGTCAAACGACACATTTGATGGTTTTCAGACTGTTTTCTTGTGGGACTTTGCTTTTAATTGTATTGTTGGCGTTCTGACCTTCATAACGACCTTAAGAATACTGAGAATTTTGGGGTACAACAGGCGTTTAACAGAGATTGTGAGAGTTATAACTAGTTCTGCGAGGGACTTAATCGGATTTGGCCTCGTCTTCAGCATAATATACAGCGCTTACGTCATATTTGGTTTTCTGATATATGGTACATCTTTGAGCGAATACAACACTGTGTTCAAATCTTTTGGAACTCTGACCAATTCCTTGATTGGGAAGAATCGCCTGGATATGATGATACACGTGGCCCCTGAAGCGGCTTCTTTCTTCTATTTTACGTACACATTTTGTGTCATTTTCACTTTGTTAACGATGTTCTCTGCCATTCTTAACTACAGCATCAGGAAAGTTCGCCATCAATCAAGGCAAAATCCCGAAACATACGGAATACTTGATATTCTTAGTTCCAGCATAAGTAATCTGTTTGGAATGGCGATGGCACTCCAGAGGAAGGATAAAGCTAAAGAAAAATTCACTGCAAAAGGTAAAAATAAAGTTCTTCATATGCAAGTTGTATACCAGTTTTATTTTCGTGAGTTTAATTTGATACTTTTAAAATTTAAGGAGAAAAGAATTTGCGAAGCGAGAAGATAAATGCCTTTGGCATTGTTCAGTTAATCAGAGACATATTTGTTCAAAGTCTGGGAGAAGAATTCATGGTAAGTATTATCTTATTAAAACATATAAAGAAATAAACCCGCAAATTTCACTTTGGTTTATTTGCCTTTTATGGCTTTGGATTAAAGAGCTCAAGTTAACTTCAGAAAAGAAATCGGGATTCGTTTTAATTTTTACAAAAAAGGGGTATTTTTTCCGGTTGATAATTTTATTTAGTCTGCATGCATGCAGGTATTCGTACCTCATATATTTTGTTTTAGTCAATGCATTTAGTATACAAAAATAGGAGAAACATTTTCAAAGACAACTACGATGCAGCATGATATTGTCGACGCATTTTAAGTACGTTATCTCCAAATGTTATTTGATATCTTTCTTTTCTTGATTTTATTTTATTTTATTATTCATTTCATTGGAAATAAAAAAAAAGTTATTAGTGTAAATCACATATATTTTTTGACAATTGATAATTAGCCCTAAATTTAAAAAAAATAGCACTGAAACTGAAAGCAACGGAAGTGATGATTTCTAACTATTTAAAGTATAGAGGCGTCCCGGAATTGCACAGAAAGTCTAAAGAGAACAAGTTTGGCGCGGTTTCTGACCTCTCTAGACTTTCTTTGCAATTCCAGGACGCCTCAATACTTTAAATAGTTAGAAATCATCACTTCCGTTGCTTTCAGTTTCAGTGCTAGGTATCGAGGACGTTTTTGGTTTACTGCATGCGTTTTAGACGGCAAGTGCAAATCGGCAGGCAATAGAAAGGGGTCATTCAATCATTTTTGAAGCTAGATCTCACCGGTAGGAAAAGTGTAGATGTTGAATAAAATCAAGCGTGAACCGAGGCACCCCCTGAAATCCAAGATGGCGAGTTGCGAACCTTGTGTATTTTTATATATTGAAATATGATATTTTTAAAAATGCTGTTCCAGCGAGTTTTGATTTTTATTTTAATAAGTGCATCTAGACAGACATAGAAGAACACACAATACACAAAATACACCATCCTGAAACCAAGCGCCTATGAACACAAATACTTCAAAGTTTAGTATCATTGAATGAAGTGTATTTGAACCATTAGACTGGAAAAAAGATCCATCTGCTGTAGATCTCCAAATTTTTGCGACACCTCATATTTGCAAGATTGTTACTAGGTAATTGTAATTAAAAAAAATCACAATTTTTATTATTGTTATGTATAATATTTTAATGACATTTTCGCGAGCAGAGGCCTAGCGTAATTATAATAATTTTCTCGGAAATAAAATGGGATTTACAGATATTTAAAAGTTGAGTGTAGTCTCCTTGATCCAACATCTAATACTTTAAACATTCCTTCTTTTAAACTGATTATTATGATTCAGTATTCACAGAGGTCAAGGCAAGAGTCTTTATTGACAACAATGACGGAACCATCGGATCTGAGAGTTAACCTGACGCCAGAATGTCTTAAAGGACAACGAAATGGTGACATCAGCAAACTCGAAAGAATCGGCACCCTGAGGGATATTCAAGTGTCACTTGATAAGAAAGAGGACAACCTAGTCCAGCGGAATCTTTATTATTTGTAGACTTCGTGAAATATTATTAGATCACTGTCTATTACATGTAAGCGTTGTTGATTCTTTACGATCAGCGCATGTACGCCTCCTTCTCAGATTTTACAAGAATCTTGGGAAACATTTAAATAAAAAAGGGAATTTAGTCTTGAATTTAAATCATTTACATATATTATATATAATATACGAGAGGAGAACAAGATTAATTTACGAAAAAGAGCCAAAATCTTATTTAAACTGCGCTCTAAGTTTCGGTAATTTAGCTCAAATATCAATGGCAGTATACTAAGTATGTCTTGTGGAGTTGACAGAAGTAAACTGAACATCTACATGTATATTCCTGTCAGTTAATTACAAGAATCTTGTTAGCTATTTGAATAATTATGGGTTACCTTTCCTGCACTCACTATCTTGGTACATGTATATAACTAGATTTTTTTTCCTTTAACTTTTTTCTTCATAAATATAAACTTCGTTCATATGTGTTTTACACATGAACAAGACATGGGGACCTTAAATCGTAACACAAAAACTTTGAGTGGAGGATTCAAAAGCACAGATACACCAGTGTGAAAATAAGATGGAGAATTGGCCTCCAGTATAGAAGAAGAGCTTACCTGTTGGAAAAATCCCTTTGAAAAAGTAATAAACCAGGAATGTCAACAGAATATGCTGAAATAAGTGAAGGTGTAGATAACTGATGTACCAACAGTAGAGGAAATAAAAACAGGCCATCAAACTTCTTAAGAAAGGCAAAGCCCCAGGGATCGATCAGGTACTTGCAGAAATGTTGAAAACTGAGGAAGTATTAACACCCAACCTTCTTACCGATATCCTGCAAACTATATGGCAGACAGAAACAGACCAGATGATTGGAAGGTTGGTCTCATATTGAAGCTGCCCAAGAAATGTGACTTAGCAGACACAAATAACTGGAGAGGAATTATATTGCTGTCAGTGACCAGCAAAGTCCTAAGCAGAGTCACCTTAAACAGAATGGCCTCATTGGTGGACCCATACCTTCGTAAAGAACAAGCTGGATTCAGAAAAGGAAAATCAGACCAGATACCAATATTCGCCTTGAGGCAAATTTTAGAACAGGAATGCAACGCTGTATGCCAATTTCATCGACTTCGCCAAAGCATTTGACAGTATACATCGTCCTGCTTTATGGAAGATCCTCACACATTACTGCATTCCTAATAAGATCATTTCTATCATTCAGATGCTTTACAAGGACTTAAAAGCAAAGGCGATATGGGGCACAGAACTCACAGACAGCTTTCCAATCCAAACGGGGTACGACAGGGATGTCTGCTTTCACCACTGCTCTGTACTTTCTGCATAGACTGCCTTATGAAAATCACTACCAGTCAGGCTAATAGAGGAATATCCTGGACATTTCAACAGTCACTCGAAGATCTTGACATTGCAGATGACATCGCTTTACTAGCATAGCGACATAAGAATTTCGAGAGCAAAATTGATGTCCTAGACAAGTATAGCAGACTTTTTAGACTAAATATAAACGTAAACAAAAAAAAGTTAATGAAGATAATTACAATGATAGATTTAAAAAAAAGTTACAGCAAACAACAACAGAATAGAAGAAGTAGACAATTTTATATATCTTGGCAGGAAGACCACAGCCAATGGAGATTCCACCAAGGATGTTGAAAATAGAATAGCAAAAGCCCTTGCCACCTTTGAAAACCTACGGAACATCTGGAAATCTTCAATTATCAGAACCAAAACCAAAATAAGGATATTCAAAACTTATGTGCTCAAAGCACGAAGAGGATGTGTTTTAGTAAGAAATAAAGCCTGATCACAATTTGTTTTACAAATTTCTATTTTTGAGTATCCTTTGTCCTTAAATGAATTTGAGACATAAATTATAACACTGAATGAGCACACTCTTCACCAAGGTAGTTACAAAAAATAGGGTGATAAAGACGCCAAACAATGTGGTGTGCTGTGACATGATATAGTGCATGCTTTATATAGTGCTCAGCGAATTGATCGTTATTTTAGTCTCATTTCTGAAGCGTGATTAAAATGTCAGCTCCGATATTATAAGATATATTTTAGGAAAAACTTCTTATCTTGAAACCCATTCCATATTTAATGTAAAAACCGCCAAAACGTAACAAAGGTATGTAGAGATGTAAATGTCTGTTCTTGGGATTGAACTCGGGACTTCTGGCATCTGGCATGTCGGTTTAGTGTTCTTCCTGTAGACCTTATTTCTTAACCCACTAGTTCAAGCTAGTAGGAAGCTGTGCTCCCCACCCTATTACATTGTTTCCCTTCAGAAAAAAGGTGATGCTAAAACGCGGAATGGAAAGCGAAAGACATGACAAATATATGTCATACTAAAACGACATTAATTATATAAAAAAAATTCATATTTGATCAAGGATTATAAATACGAGTTGATTTATTAATATTTATTCTCTTGTGAAGGTCTGAACATATGCATAGCATAGGAACAAGTAAAATATGTACGGGTGGAATAACTACTGAAATATATTCTGATGAATATAAATGACCTGTTTTATATTATTATATATAGGTTTATATTTACATTTCGTGTGATTTTCTATAAAAAAATCTGTTGGAAATCTACAACATCCAATACCCTATAACACACGCCAAAGGTAGAATACACAGTAGGAATTATATGTATTTTCAGTATCCTAGGCACACCAAAATTGTTTGGGCTCAATTTAATTTTAAAAAAAAAACCAATTACCCTATTAAATTATTGTAAAAATAAAACAATTACGTTTAAAATTAATGTGTAATTTTTCCTTCGCAATTTTCATGTAACTTTCCACGTCACAGGTGCTAAATTCATAGTAAAGATTAACGAAATTAACAATTATGAAGAAAAAAATATAGAATATAAATTTGAGCATTAAATTCTTATTTTATGATGTCGTCGGACTCCTCTATGGCACCTGATCCCACCTCTGATGTTTTAGAGGTCCGTCTTTGCTCTGTTCTTGATTTGTATTGTTTGAAATGGACTTGTGAGCTTGAATACTGTTCGTTTTTCATTTCATTTGTCCGAAGTCGCTAATAGTAAAACCACTTTTGCATCATTATAGAGATACTTTAGTATTGTATTAGGCTCCCTCTCCCAAAAAAAGCCCTGTATTTGGAGAGGGCTACAATCTTACCTAATACTTTTTCGTAGTATTTATCAAATTTAGAAGCAAATGCTACAAAATTTATGCTAATTAAATGAAATTTATTGTTGAATTTTACACTAAAATCAGAGACTTGAATAAGATAAGTTTGAACCAGCTCAATGGTGGATCCCAAAAGTTGTGGTTTCAACACCCTTTTAGTTTTGAAAGAGAAAAAAAGGAGGTGAGAAAACTAGTAAAGAAAAATTGCTTGTCAATTACCCCAACCATCCCCATACAAAATATTTTGCATTTTAATAATAGACACTTTTGTCTAGGGAAAAAAGGGGTATGCTGTTGTTGTTCAAAAAACGTGGACCCACAGTTTTTTTTAAAATAAATAATGATATTTAAAAGCGGTTAATTTCTTTTATGAGTAATATTTCTATTCTGCAATGTTAATACGAATACCAAAAAAAATGCAATAAAGCAAAAATAAACAAAACTGTATGTAAAACTTATGGGATGATACTATATTATTATAACTTGTCATAAAGTATACTGTACTTATTCGAACTGGTGTGTGTACCACTGTACTTTAACAAAGGTGAAGTGTCACTATTCAGAAATTCAAGAACACTTGTATGTATTTGCCACTATTTTTAACTATTACTAGTAACGAAAATGATCGCTGTTCTCACGGAAAATTTTCTTCAGCCCTATTCAATTAACAAAGTGCACGAGGGTAAACTCAATTTTAACTTAAACGTAAGATATCATCTAAAATAATAAATAATTTATCTAGTTTTTAAAAGAATTTAGCTTATTAAATGAAATAAAAGGGTGAATTCGTACATATCTTGGTGATACAGATATAGATTTTTCTATTTATGTAACATAAACTGCAAAAAAGTGAACGATAAGCGTCTAATCATCAAATGACATAAAACTTCTGGAGAGCTGATAAATTACAGAACGAGGTCGTGCTTACGTCATCAGCGTGTGTGGCGCGCGGGAATCGCGCGGACAGATTCTCTAATGTGTGAGCTATTGATATGTCAATCTTTATCGATGTCTGCCTCATACGTACAACTTGATTGGCTTTTAAAACTTGATTATCAGAACTGCATAACAAATTCATTTTTGGCAAAGGTATTACAGGTGAGTATTTGCTAAGTCGTTTCTATCAAATTATGTCGTTTAATGAAAACAGTTTTTCGAATTATAAAATAAATTTCACGGATGTCAGGATAATTGACCAGCTTTTGGTACATATGCCGTCTTCTACTTCTGCCAGTAAATGGTTAATGTAGCGGTTTGCTAAGAGGAAAATGACCAGGTATATTAATAAGACTAGCCATTAATACTGGGCAGGCGTTTGAACCAATGTCTGTTTATATCGGATGGAAAACATTAATCCAGAAGTGAGAACATTAATAATGGGGATACACAGAGGAGGTTTTGGTGTATTGTTGATGGAGTCATATAGATTGTTTATAAATGTTTATTTAGGTAGTTGTGTTTCATGAGAAGGGGGCACATGGTATTGAAAAACTGCGATCAGTGAGACGGATATACATAACACAATATGAGATCAGAAACTGTTACAGGGAAGTGATTTGGAAGGTTTAGTCATTGTGATAACAATCCGTGGGACGATCAGTGTATAGCTCGCTTTCTTGGAACTCGTGTCCCCATCCGCGGACTGGAATCATGCATTTACCTACCCTGGGTATGACTTCACTTGTGTTAAGTTTTCTGGTCCTAGCAGCAGTGGGTGTAGCGGCGCGCCGCAACAAGGTCCTTCTTGTGTCAATGGACGGGTTCCGATGGGATTACGTGAAAACTATCTCCACCCCTAATCTAGACCGCCTAGCGGGTCTGGGGACACGGGCAGAGTACATCAACAACACATTCTGTACAAAGACATTCCCCAGTCACTACAGTGTGGCCACAGGTAAGAAAATCACCTTTGTTTATTCTGAGTAATTGAATTCCAATTGTTGATTTTTTTTGTACGCAATACGTTGCATGTAGTGAAGGTGTACTAAAAAGCAGAAACGCAACTATATGATTTTAGATTTCTCTGTTAGTTACCAAACAACTTTGCCGATATTGGACATTTGTTTCAAAGTATCGTTATTAAAAAAAATTGTTTTAATTTTAAGGTATTATTTGTACTCAATTTTCTTTTACATTAATGTTGGTAAATGAAAGGATGGACATAGTAATGAAACATTTGGAGAAATGGTTGGACTTTAACATATGTACATTAAGAGTTTGTGCGTAACAATATTTAACTCTGAAACTATTTCCTTTTTAGCTCACCTGAGCTGAAAGCTCAAGTTAACCTTTTCTGATCATCCGTTGTCCGTCGTCCGTCCGTCTGTCCCTCCCTCTGTAAACTTTTCACGTTTTCAACTTCTTCTCAAGAACCACTAGTCCAATTTTAACCAGACTTGGTACAAAGTATTGTTGGATGAAGGGGAGTGTAAATTGTTAAAATAAAGGGCCAAGTCCCCTTACAAGGGGAGATAATCAAGAAAAGACAAAAATAGGGTGGGGTCATTAAAAAATCTTCTTCTCAAGAACCACTGGGCCAGAAAACGCTGAAACTTATAGGGAAGCATCCTGGGGTAGTGTAGATTCTAAATTGTTCAAATCATGACCCCCGGGGGTAGGGCGGGGCCACAATAGGAAATCCAAGTTTTACATTGAAATATATAAGAAAAATCTTTAAAAATCTTCTTCTCAAGAACACCTGGGCCAGAAAAGCTGAAACTTATATGGAAGCATCCCGAGGTAGTGTAGATTCTAAATTGTTCAAATCATGACCCCCGGGGGTAGGGCGGGGCCACAATAGGGAATCCAAGTTTTACATTGAAATATATAGGAAAAATCTTTAAAAAATCTTCTTCTCAAGAACCACTGGGCCAGAAATACTGAAACTTATATGGAAGCATCCCGAGGTAGTGTAGATTCTAAATTGTTCAAATCATGACCCCCGGGGGTAGGGCGGGGCCACAATAGGAAATCCAAGTTTTACATTGAAATATATAGGAAAAATCTTAAAAAATCTTCTTTTCAAGAACCACTGGACCAATAAAGCTGAAACTTATTTGGAAGCATCCCGAGGTAGTGTAGATTCTAAATTGTTCAAATCATGACCCCGGGGGTAGGGCGGGGCCACAATAGGTATATTAAAGGGGGGAAATCTGGTAAAGAACAACATGGCCAAAGTTATTCAGGTGAGCGATGTGGCCCATGGGCCTCTTGTTTAAAATTGAGATTGGTTAAAGTGGATTTTTTTTCATTTTAAATCTTCTTTATTGGAAACACCTGTGTAAAGTGACATCATAGGTGAAATAAAGGTTTTCATCACGTTACGAGTTTATCATTTACACATAAAACTATGTTAAGAGTTCTATGAATTATATTGAGCTCAGAAATATCTTGCAAAACCCTCATAATATATTTCGCTGAAAAATTAATTGAAAGTAGGTTACACTTAACAAATTATTAAGTTTGTAGTTGAAGCAAAAAAGTCTAATAAAGTAATTTACAAATTATATGTACATTTAAAAAAAAATTTAATCATTTTTCATTTACAGATATGGAGCAACATAGACAATATTATTCAAATCTTTGACTATATAAAGAAGTTTCATAACAATTTGTATTTTATTTTATTTTATGCTTTTTAGCTCACCTGAGCCGAAGGCTCAAGTGAGCTTTTCTGATCACATTTTGTCCGTCGTCCGTCTGTCCGTCCGTCCGTCTGTCTGTCTGTCCGTCTGTAAACTTTTCACATTTTTGACTTCTTCTCAAGAACCACTGGGCCAAATTCAACCAAACTTGCCACAAAGTATCCTTGGGTGAAGGGGATTCAAATTTGTTCAAATGAAGGGCCATGCCCTCTTTTAAGGGGAGATAATTAGGAATTAGTGAAAAAATAATGGCATCATTTAAAAATCTTCTTCTCAAGAACCACTGGGCCAGGAAAGATGAAACTTATGTGGAAACATCCTCAGGTAGTGTAGATTCAATTTTGTTCAAATCATGACCCCTGGGGGTAGGGTGGGGCCACAATGGGGGATCAAAGTTTTACATAGAAATATATAGAAAAATATCTTTAAAAATCTTCTTCTTAAGAACAGCAAAGCCATGATTGGTCATATTTATATGGAAGCTTCCTCAGGTAGAGTAGATTCAAGTTTGTTCAAATCATGACCCCTGGGGATAGGGTGGGGCCACAATGTGGGATCAAAGTTTTACATAGAAATATATAGGAAAATATCTTTAAAAATCTTCTTCTTAAGAACAGCAAAGCCATGATTGGTCATATTTATATGGAAGCATCCTCAGGTAGTGTAGATTCAAATTTGTTCAAATCATGACCCCCGGGGGTAGTGTGGGGCCACAATGGGGGATCAAAGTTTTACATAGAAATATATAGGAAAATATCTTTAAAAATCTTCTTCTTAAGAACAGCAAAGCCATGATTGGTCATATTTATATGGAAGCATCCTCAGGTAGTGTAGATTCAAGTTTGTACAAATCATGACCCCTGGGGATAGGGTGGGGCCACAATGGGGGATAAAAGTTTTACATAGAAATATATAGGAAAATATCTTTAAAAATCTTCTTCTTAAGAACAGCAAAGCCATGATTGGTCATATTTATATGGAAGCATCCTCAGGTAGTGTAGATTCAAATTTTTTCAAATCATGACCCCTGGGGGTAGGGTGGGGCCACAATGGGGGATCAAAGTTTTACATAGAAATATTTCAGAAAATATATTTAAAAATCTTCTTCTTAAGAACAGCAAAGCCATGATTGGTCATATTTATATGGAAGCATCCTCAGGTAGTGTAGATTCAAATTTGTTCAAATCATGACCCCTGGGGGTAGGGTGGGGCCACAATGGGGGATCAAAGTTTTACATAGAAATATATAGGAAAATATTTTAAAAAATCTTCTTCTTAAGAACAGCAAAGCCATGATTGGTCATATTTATATGGAAGCTTCCTCAGGTAGAGTAGATTCAAGTTTGTTCAAATCATGACCCCTGGGGATAGGGTGGGGCCACAATGTGGGATCAAAGTTTTACATAGAAATATATAGGAAAATATCTTTAAAAATCTTCTTCTTAAGAACAGCAAAGCCATGATTGGTCATATTTATATGGAAGCATCCTCAGGTAGTGTAGATTCAAATTTGTTCAAATCATGACCCCTGGGGGTAGGGTGGGGCCACAATGGGGGATCAAAGTTTTACATAGAAATATATAGGAAAATATTTTAAAAAATCTTCTTCTTAAGAACAGCAAAGCCATGATTGGTCATATTTATATGGAAGCTTCCTCAGGTAGAGTAGATTCAAGTTTGTTCAAATCATGACCCCTGGGGATAGGGTGGGGCCACAATGTGGGATCAAAGTTTTACATAGAAATATATAGGAAAATATCTTTAAAAATCTTCTTCTTAAGAACAGCAAAGCCATGATTGGTCATATTTATATGGAAGCATCCTCAGGTAGTGTAGATTCAAATTTGTTCAAATCATGACCCCCGGGGGTAGTGTGGGGCCACAATGGGGGATCAAAGTTTTACATAGAAATATATAGGAAAATATCTTTAAAAATCTTCTTCTTAAGAACAGCAAAGCCATGATTGGTCATATTTATATGGAAGCATCCTCAGGTAGTGTAGATTCAAGTTTGTACAAATCATGACCCCTGGGGATAGGGTGGGGCCACAATGGGGGATAAAAGTTTTACATAGAAATATATAGGAAAATATCTTTAAAAATCTTCTTCTTAAGAACAGCAAAGCCATGATTGGTCATATTTATATGGAAGCATCCTCAGGTAGTGTAGATTCAAATTTTTTCAAATCATGACCCCTGGGGGTAGGGTGGGGCCACAATGGGGGATCAAAGTTTTACATAGAAATATTTCAGAAAATATATTTAAAAATCTTCTTCTTAAGAACAGCAAAGCCATGATTGGTCATATTTATATGGAAGCATCCTCAGGTAGTGTAGATTCAAATTTGTTCAAATCATGACCCCTGGGGGTAGGGTGGGGCCACAATGGGGGATCAAAGTTTTACATAGAAATATATAGGAAAATATTTTAAAAAATCTTCTTCTTAAGAACAGCAAAGCCATGATTGGTCATATTTATATGGAAGCTTCCTCAGGTAGAGTAGATTCAAGTTTGTTCAAATCATGACCCCTGGGGATAGGGTGGGGCCACAATGTGGGATCAAAGTTTTACATAGATATATATAGGAAAATATCTTTAAAAATCTTCTTCTTAAGAACAGCAAAGCCATGATTGGTCATATTTATATGGAAGCATCCTCAGGTAGTGTAGATTCAAATTTGTTCAAATCATGACCCCCGGGGGTAGTGTGGGGCCACAATGGGGGATCAAAGTTTTACATAGAAATATATAGGAAAATATCTTTAAAAATCTTCTTCTTAAGAACAGCAAAGCCATGATTGGTCATATTTATATGGAAGCATCCTCAGGTAGTGTAGATTCAAGTTTGTACAAATCATGACCCCTGGGGATAGGGTGGGGCCACAATGTGGGATCAAAGTTTTACATAGAAATATATAGGAAAATATCTTTAAAAATCTTCTTCTTAAGAACAGCAAAGCCATGATTGGTCATATTTATATGGAAGCATCCTCAGGTAGTGTAGATTCAAATTTGTTCAAATCATGACCCCCGGGGGTAGTGTGGGGCCACAATGGGGGATCAAAGTTTTACATAGAAATATACAGGAAAAAATCTTTTTCTCAAGAACAGAAAAGCCATGGTTAGTAAAATTGATATGGAGGCATCCTTGGATAGTGTAGAATGAAATTTGTTCAAATGAGGGACCCCGGGGGTAGGGTGGGGCCACAATGGGGGATCAAATTTCTACAAATGAATATATGGGAAAAAATCTTCTACTCAAGAACAGCAATGCCATTTGTTATATTGATATGAAAGCATCATCAGGTAGTTTAAAATTCAACCCCCACCCCCACCCTCCCTTCATTAACTTTTCAATACTAAACTGATTTTTGCATTTTTTTCCTAGCCAATGTGCTCAGGTGAGCGATGTGGCCCATGGGCCTCTTGTTATATTTACATTTAAACTTGAAATCCTATATGTTTTAGGTTTATACGAGGAAAGTCATGGAATTATAGGAAATGTGATGTACGATCCTGAATTTAATGAAACTTTTTCTCCCAGAACCCGTGAGTCAAAATGGTGGAATGATGGCGAGCCAATCTGGATCACAGCGGTAAGAAACGGATTAAAAAGCGCCACCTATTTCTGGCCAGGAAGTGAGGTAAAAATTCGTGGCCTAAGGCCAACAAAGTATAAGAATTATTCCAGTGTAGATGTCCGGAAACAGATTGACAACGTCACTGATTGGCTGAAGGGCGACATTGACATTGCTGTTATGTACACCCCACAACCTGACAAAGCGGGGCACAAATTTGGACCAAATTCACGGGAACTAAGGGAAAAAGTACAGGAAATGGACAGCGCTGTGGGATATCTTCTCGATATGCTAGAAGAGAAGGAACTTACGTCTGTAGTGAACCTCGTTTTGACCAGCGATCACGGCATGACAGAAATAGATTTTCAAAAAAAAAGAATAGAAATTGCATCATTAGTTAATCTTAGCGACATTGTCAGAAAATCCGACAAAGGGCCACTTATGCATATCACTCCAGTGGAGGGAAAGCTAGAATCTGTATACCAAGCTCTCAGCAAGAGTGATAAAATGACTGTGTACAAGAAAGAGGATATACCCGAATACTGGCACTATAAAAACAATAGGCGGGTAATGCCTATTCTTTGTGTGGCAGACGAAGGGTGGTCGATATTATGGGTAAGCTACCTTAATGACTCTAAATTGTCTAAAAGTTAGTCACCGCTTTTTTCGAACATTTTTGTAGTCTTAAACTTTAATCTAAGACGCATTTGTTTTAAGTCATAAAAGCAAATTCTCTACACAGTAAAATAGGCTTCTTTACCTTAACAACAAGTATAGAGGTTTTGTGAACCGCAGACTTTTTAAACCTCCCGCGCTGTTCAAACACAAATCAAAACTCCACTCCGCAGTCTGTAACACGCCCCACTGAGCTTATCCGAGTCCGTTTGATGTATTTTTATAAAACTTACAATGTTTTCTTTCCTCCAGAATAGATGCGTTACAAGTCATTAAACCTTACACTAATTTTCCTCTTGACAAAGAGGTTCTGTTGCTCATGGTACCATCTTTATGTCATAGTGTCCTATTGCCTGAGACAATTTTAACGTTACTTTTAAAATTAAAAAAACTTCATTATCGTACCAAGTCATGACAAACAAGCGTATGCTTGTTGCTTTGGAACTGAAGAGTACTACTAAATGTTTATTGTCATTTTTGAGTGGCCTATCATTCATTAATTCATGTCTATTTCCGGTGCATGGCTTTAGAATCTCGAACGAAGACTCCTGTGTGTATGTTGTTGCTACTGTGACTTTTATTTCAACATTCAGATATATCGACGACGTTTATCAATTAACAATAGTAATTTCCATTCATATGTCGACTCGATTTAATCCTATGAAATAAAAGACACCACAGAGTCTGCCACATTTGTGTCATATTTGGATGTTTTACTGACTATTGACGATAAGGGCCGACTAACAACTAAACTGTATGAAAAACGAGATGACTTAATCTTTTCCATCGTCAACTTCCATTATTGATGTAGTAATGTTACGCTATCACCTGCATATCAGGCCCTTAGCAACGGTTTTAAAAAGATGGGCTCTAAAAACAAACAAACCCCCTAAAAACCCGAAAATTTTCCAAACTCGAAAATCGTATTTCGGGAGGGAGGAGGGAAGGGGGGCTTTCTTTCCTTTTTTGTACATTTTTTTTTCAAATCTTGTAGTTTGCCCAGTGCTCAAACTTACAGAAAAACGCAGAAAAAAAGTCCCCCCCCCGCGTTTTACAGGCATATGGTGTTTATGTCTCCCAACTGATTCGATACTCAAGAAAATGCTCCGAGTTTGACCAATTTTTAAACCGAGTGTCATTTTATAAATTTTGTATTTACTGCTTCCCGGTAAATTAAAAATTTACAACATGACACGAGGCAGGCTACTGAATGATAAGTTAATGTTACAGGAATTCCAGCAACCTCATTTAAAGTCAGCAGTTCGTAAATTCTACAGTTGTTACAATGACTTTGTTAACAAATATATATCATTGGGTCATATTTTGACAGACGTATTTGATACTAATTGTTGGGCCTTTGTTTTTATACTTGACTACAGATATTTCCGTCTATCTGATCATTACATAGGACTCACGACGGGTATGACCGGTCAGCAGAGGATGCTTGCTCCTCCTAGGCACCTAACACCACCACTGGAATTTCCAGGGGTCCGTGTTTAGTGCCCTTTTCACAGTTTTGTATTGTTTCTGTGTGTGTTTTTAGATCGATCACTGTTCGTTGTCTACACCTTTTTCATTTCATGTCTAAGGAGGGAGGGTGCATCATTAGTTATACAGTTAGTTTGTGACCTAGTACGGAGTCATTTAGGGGTGTGAAATAGAAATTAGTGCTAAGCAAGGCGAACCCGAGTATGGATTTCCGTTTCACACTCTGGATGACTCCGTATTAAGTCACAAACTCAGGCCCGTAGAACGCGGGGGGGGGGGGGAGCCCCCCCCCACGTTTTCTGAGTAAAGTATTTTGCTATAATAAATTTTCTTTTAGATGCTGCCCCCCCCCCTCACTTTTTGTTGTAAGATCGAGCACTAGCAAATTCCAGGATTTGGACAATTAATTAGGGTTTTTCTGCTTGTCAGATTATTTTGGGAAGTTGCCCCCCCCCTCCCCAACTACTAGCCTGCAAAATAAGTGCGTAACGAAAGGAAGAATCTTAAGATTTGTTCTGAGGTCAGTTACATATTTAAAAAAACATATTTCAAAATATCATTGAACATCAAATATTATCAGTATTGCATCATTACAGTTGAAGATACCTACACACACTGAATTGTGTACGGATTTTTCCGTTTACCCGATCATGGCAAGGAGCACACGGCAGGTGTGACCGGCCTACAGGGGATGCTTACTCTTCAATGACACCTGATTCCACCTATGATTTTTTGTAGGGGTCCGTGTTTGCTCTGCTTCTGATTTGTATTAACTACAGCAAATTTCAACAAAGAAACTGCTTGCGTTTCTGTACATCAGATACAAGTTGAACGAAATCTCGTGTCAAAATTTGAATAGTCCCCTGCTCGGAGACTGTGTATTTTAGAGCTCCAAATGATTTGTTTTTAGCCAATCAATATTTTATTTTGTCTGAGGCGGAATAAATTCTTAACCCATTTGAGAAATTAATAAGCTTGGAGAAAAAGAGACCTCGTAACATAAAAATAAAAAAAAATCAAAGATGGTGTTGAAGTTCTTTTGTTATTTTCCCTAAAGTTGTAGCAGTCTAAAAGAAAAATTTTAAGTAACAGAAAACGGCCTTTAATTTTTTTTCAGATACAACGGTATATACAACACAATGTAGAACAATATTTAGAAACTGCATATCGACTTCCAATTTGCCATTAAATGAAGTGTAAATTAGTCACATAGCAAAATAAGTCAAGTTTTCTGTTTTTCGAACAGGGAATCCCCATTGTTCTGAAAAATCGCCACCTTGAAACAGAATGAATTTGATATACACATAAAGAGACAGAATTTTTCTTCAAAACTGCCATTTCCGATTTCCCCTGCTCGGAGACTGTGTATTTTAGAGCTCCAAATGATTTGTTTTTAGCCAATCAATATTTTATTTTGTCTGAGGCGGAATAAATTCTTAACCCATTTGAGAAATTAATAAGCTTGGAGAAAAAGAGACCTCGTAACATAAATATAAAAAAAAAATCAAAGATGGTGTTGAAGTTCTTTTGTTATTTTCCCTATAGTTGTAGCAGTCTAAAAGAAAAATTTTAAGTAACAGAAAACGGCCTTTAATTTTTTTTCAGATACAACGGTATATACAACACAATGTAGAACAATATTTAGAAACTGCATATCGACTTCCAATTTGCCATTAAATGAAGTGTAAATTAGTCACATAGCAAAATAAGTCAAGTTTTCTGTTTTTCGAACAGGGAATCCCCATTGTTCTGAAAAATCGCCTCCTTGAAACAGAATGAATTTGATATACACATAAAGAGACAGGATTTTTCTTCAAAACTGCCATTTCCGATTTTTGTTTCAAAGAGGCATATTTTTGAAAATCACTAAAATCGAATAAAATATTATTATCCATCCGAAATGCAAAACGTGTACATAAAATAGCACGAAATAGTTTAGTGTCGGAGCTGGTCTAGTGGTAAAGCGTGTAGACTCTATGCGAAGATGCTTTTTACCTGAGAATGGGTTCGAATCCTGTAACGGCATACATATTTTTTTCTTATATAATGGAATTATGTGTAATGTAACAGAAAGAGAGGGAGAGAATGTCAGAAAGTTAATGGGTAATATTTTAAATGCATGCAGAATTAAATTGTTTTCATTGATATTGTGATCTAAAACTAATAAGACATACATTTAATGTTATTATTTAGTGGCGATGTCTTAAAAAATAAGGTACTATCATTTTAAATAATTTATTTTTTTCATACTTATTTCTTTCATTATTGTTCTGTTAATTAGTGGCTCAGATTTAATTTGAAACAATTAAATTGAAATGACTCAATGGAATTTTTTGGATATTGCATCAACAGCGTGATTATTGGACACACTTTTATTTATTGAAAAATATTAACAAATATTAACAAATCGGAAAATTCATATACTCAGCTTATACTTACAGACAGTCTATTATTTATAATAAACGCAATGCGTAATATCACAGTATTCTTATTGAATGTTATATCGGTAAAAGTGACATATAGGCCCGATGGGCCGGGTGTTTAAATTCCTATTATATGTATATTTGTTGACAGTTGTTGTAATTGTACATAACACATGTCACTATAATAAACCATTTACTTACTTACTTACTTACTTATTAACACGCGCTGTCTACAGTACATCTTTAATTTCAAAATGATGTGCGAGGTGCACTTGCCATCAATTGTGGTTTTTAACGCTCAAACTTTTCTCGTGCAATATGGCGACAGTGATCATAGTTGTGAAAAAAAGTTTCCTAACAGGTCGCCCGTCTATGCTAGTACTAGGAAAAACTATGCATGAAATATACGTAAAATGTGAAGTGTTTTGTTATAACAAGCTGGACATACCCGCCGTATAAATAAAGTCAACTACGTAGCATTATCTATATTTAGAGATAACTCTTCACGCGTCGTGGGTATTAAAATGTCCTTCCCGACTTAGGGAATAATCTCGAATTTCTGCAACACCCTCTTTTAATATAGTCATTTAAGCCATTGAATAGTGGAGTTCTTTCTAAAATGGCGTTATGGTATAAGTTCATATTAAATATCAATTCTGAATCAACATGACGGCAAGTGCTGTGCAAGTGTACATGTATAAACGTTGAATATAGTAAATTTCGCATATATACCATTATAGAAACTAAATCATTGCCTGTTTAAAGAGGTTCGATCCTGAGTTTTCGAGCAGATTTTACTGTGGACCTTTATTTCTAGAATTCTGTATAATATATTACAGTCCCTGAAACGTTCTACTTTCCCACTTGAACGGTGAGCGAACGCTGAACGAACGGTGAACGAACGCTGAACGAACGCAGAGCGAACGGTGAGTGAACGATGTGTGAACGCTGAACGCAACTTGGTGAACGATGTGTGAACGGTGAACGGTGAGCGAACGCAGAACGCGAACGGAGCGCAAACGCGAACGCAAAGTGAACGGTGAACGAACGGTGAACGCAAGATGAACGATATATTCGGAATGCCTCTGATCTTTTCCTTGCATTGAAACTATTTTATTGTATTATAATGTCAGGTGCCAAAAAAAAAAAAAAAAATAAAATAAAAATAAATAAATAAATAAGTAAACCAATAAATGAATGAATAAATAAGTAAATAAAATAAATTCTCCAAAATTGTCCTAAGAAAGACGATTCATGCACATTAAGTTTTTAATCATACGATTTTTAACGCATTAAAACATTGCAATTGTTGCCGAACGCTGAAGTATAAAAGATATTTTTTTTAGTTGGAAAATAAAAATGTTTATTCTTATTTGATAACAAATCAGAGAAAACTTCTGACTTATAGAATGAATTAAAGCGATTGTAACATCCATTCATATATCTCCGTGTCAAGGCGATTTCATGTAATGAAAAAAAATTAATTACAAAGGTCAGTGGACGTTTTGCATTTATACGCTCGTATTTTGAATTTTAATACAATAATATATTATGTATCATTTCTATTTTTCATGATGATTTATTGAGCAGACTTCTACATGTATCTGTAGATGGCCGTGATTATACTCGGACAAGATAATACAAAGATACATATTCATATTATTTGTTATAAATTCAATTTTCAGAACTTGATATTTAAGTAATATGCTGTTATAATTTTTATTAAACAGACAAATGAGAGAGAGAGAGATTCCGTTTTAGCCCCCCCCCCCCTTCCTTTCAGGCTTCACTAAATGTTTGTACCTATATCAAACAATAACTCTGAAATTTTTTTCTAAATATATTAGACAGTGAAAGTAACTTTTTTTAATCAACAAATCATATCCATCTGTTTGACAGTTTTTATTTTCCTGCTTCAAGTTCACACGAAGTCCACGTGCTTGTCCTGTCAATCAAAATCATTGACACTGTGCAGGTGTGAAAGTTTCGTCACATCGAAGACGAAGTGCGAGTATTTCCAACAAGTTATAACATTTATTTTCATCATTTCTAGATTTGATACCAACATTTGAATAATAAATGAATAAAATATATTGGGCATTAACACTTGAAATACCACCGCCGACACGTGTACATTGTGAACTACTATTGTTTTGCGACTTTTTTAGATGCATGTTTGTTTTGAGACTGAAATTTTTGCTCTAAAAAGACCTTAACTTTTTTTTAACAGGTTAATTAAAATTTTCTGGAAATACAGTACTGACTAAGTAACCGATTTAGGGGAAAGGGGGGGGGGTATTAATCTTATCGAATGGCAAACATATAAAGTTACGGTGAAAAAAAGAATTTTTTTCTCTATAACTATAGACTTTACATTCATGTATTATAGTAGCAAAAATTCTGTAGTGCATTACATTTTAAATAAATATTTCCTTTAAACACACTATCAATTTAATTCACTCCAAAGGTAATAAATTAACAGGATATCCACAGTACTATGTATAACTCTCAGAACTAGTTCTATCATATTTTCTGTAGTAACTGAATAAAAAAACGCGTTAGAAATAAATATTTTCGTAATTTTGCTGCGTAATTATTTGACTTGGATAATTATATCTCGATTAACGATTTGTCGTCTTTAACAAAACAACAAAATGTTGCAGTGCTTGAAGTATTTGCACATTGCCCTTAGTTAAATTTAATATATCAGCATCGTTCTACATAGGTACAGAATGTGCTTATAACAACATTTATTTTCCAGAGTAATTTAATAAATAATCTAATAGCTAAGTTAGAATAATAAAAATATATATCTTAGATATTTTCCCCGATGAAATAATGATTCTTCAAACACGATATGTTAATTATTAAATTAAAAAATCTGTAACTCCTTACCTACAAAAAGATAAGTCCTTTCACTTGGGAGTTCCGAATGGCAATGAAAACTGAACGATAGGTGAACGCTGAACGCAAGGTGAACGCAAAGTGAACGGAACGAAGAGCGAACGCTGAACGCTTTGTGAACGGTGAACGCGAGCGTACGGTGAACGGTGAACGCAAAACTGTGAACGGAGAGCGAACGGTGAACGCACGGTGAACGAACGGTGAACGCACGCTGAACGAACGGTGAACGAACGGTGAGCGAACGGAAAAATGGGAAAGTAGAACGTTTCAGGGACTGTAGTTCTTACATAAAATTTGGATTCTACAATGCAAGTTAAACTATATTCAATCAAAAACCCACAATTAAATTCCATACGAAAAGCATTAAGTGAGGAACTTTTTTTGTGGCGGGTTTTTTAAAACGTAAATGATCAATTTTTCTCTTGCTAAGAATTTACAGTACTGTTAATTTTGGATTCCTATTTTTCTATGCAGACTGCACAAAGAGTTATTTCGTGTAATGAAATGTTTTATGCTGGTCCTGAAATAGATCTATTTATTAAATTAACTTTTATGATTGTATTATCATATTGTGACTGACCGTCATGGTAGGTCAGTCGGTAGAGCACTCTCTCCGTGTTCGGTAGGTCGTGAGTTCGAATCTCAACCGCGACTGACCTAAGTCAATAAAAAAAAATGGGTAGCAACTGTTCCTTCGCCATGCTATTGGCACTTTGAAAGTTGCGGGTCCTTCGGATGAGACCTTGAAAACCGAAGCCCCGTGCCATGGCAGGCGTTGGCACGATAAAGATCCCTCACTGCTCAATGGCCCTGGGAACCGAGTAAAGGTTAAAAAAATGAAGCCCTTCACCAGTACATGGTGACGTCTGTACATGAGTGAAAAATTCTCGAATGGGACGCAAAACAACATACAATCAATCAAGAAGTCATATTATGACAAATATAGCAAATATATTCTGTAAGTCCAGAAAAATAGGGCCAATTTTAACTTAAAATTAACACTTTTTAAGTAATATCTAAAAATTTACATCATAGACCCCACTTTTGATTTTTTTTCTGAATATATAAGGTATATAAGATTCTGCTTAAATGTAGTAAAAGTTTAAGACTTTAGAATAATTTTCCTGCGTGTTCAATTTTTTAATTCCAGAAAAATGACATTTTGTGAGTGCAGAAAGGTTAAGTACATGTAATTGATTATGCGAAGTAATTTGAAGTTTTTATTTGTCGTAGTATTTTAATGTGTCTTTTCAAGATAGATTAAGGTATATTTTATCCCATTGATTTATTTGAATAAAAAATATTGGAGGAAAAGCTTTGAAGAAATGATTCATGCTTAAAGACACAATTTCAGTGCAAAAAGGTCATATTAAATGTAGCGTCAAAAGAAGCGCATTGAACCCTATTTTTTATTTTGGATTTTAATTAAGCTATGTGTGTAGATACTAAAAATATACTTGACAAAAAACTCTTTAGAGACTTCTACACTCATTTTGAGTTTAAAACAATTGTTTAAGTGAAAAGATTTTTTTTTTATACAAAACCTGGATATTCGATTTTAAAATGCTAGTACTTGGTTCGCAAGTCATATGATAATTACTGGAAATGAACTCTTCAACATGACTGAATTGTTTATAGTTGAAGGACATTAGAAACTTGTATATTTGATTTATCTGTATCTTTAAACTTGCATATCACACTATTTTTCTTCTTAAAACTCTTTTCTTTTGTTCAGGATAAAGATGACCTGATTAATAAGACTGATCGGGGAAATCATGGATATGATAATCGACTGACATCAATGAAACCTCTGTTCTTCGCTGCCGGACCGGACATCCGAAAAAACCACACCTGTCAGCCCTTTCTGTCTGTAGATATATACTCACTTCTATGCACTCTTCTGGAAATCAATCCCGCGCTAAACAACGGAAGTTTGGAACGCGTGCGCAACTTTATTGTAAAACCTAAACCACGAACAGCAAATCTCACTAACAATGGCACATATATGTTTCCCAGTGCAGTACTCTTGTCATTGACATTGTTTGTTTTCCTAGTATTTGACTTTTTATAGCAATAGCGAAGATATTAAAACTTGACACTCTAGGATGTTTTTTTTTTTTTTTCACTTTCTTCATGTTTAAAAGGCAAAGTTTAAAACCAGGTACTGTATTGTAGATTTGAATTGTAGAAAAAAAGCTTGGAATTGTTTCTGTAACATTTTAGAGTGCCTCTAAAATCTGTGACACTTATCATGAATGCCCACTACTTCAATGATTGGAGTAGGGTTTACATATAGCATGAATGTCTTTCGGATCCCTTTTACTCACTGTTTAGTAAATTTCTTAATGTGTTAAAACTTTTCATGCATTGAGTAGGGAACGATGTAGGAGGTCTAATATAGTATATACATTAATATAACAAACAACCCCGTATACTATTAATAAACAAAAAAAATTCAATTCTTTTTTTTTCATGCAAGATTTTTATTTCTTGTTAATCTTTATAATAATTTAGTTTTTGTAGATTTTTACTTTGGTCTTATTTTTATCAACTAAGGTTTGCATGATATGACAATTTGCCATTGGTATGCCTTTTAAATTAAATACGTATTAACATCTGTTGAAAATGTCGATCTTGAATAAAATTTTATGATAGATTTGCTGTATGATGTTTCAGAAAAAAATAGCGCCCATTTTTCTTAAAGACACTTCCAAGGTATATCTCGCCTCAAAAACTTTGCTGAAGCAAGAATTTCCGTTTTTCAATATACTGTTGGAAACGGAATATGAAAAAGGCAGTGCGTTGAAAAGAGTAAACTTTATCGGAAATGCAAACCTTGCAGCCAATTCAAAAGGAGAAGAATATCCTCATTATTGATTAAAGGACACTGAACTAACATCTGTCATAAAATTGTACAAAAATCAAAACAATTTGAGTATTATATTTCCCATTGAATGATGTACACAAATGTACTTTTGTCAGTTGAAGAAGTCACTTTCATTGGCTTTTAAGGGACGATAAGACTTCGGTTAATTTGTTTAAGATATGAGAGCCACGTACTTGATCTATCAAGTTTGAACAGTTAATCAAACACAAGTTCGTTTTATCAGTTTTATATATCTCAAACTTATAAAGCAAAATGGCGAAATACAAGGCTTCCTTCTGGATGACTATTCTCTATGTGCTGATGAACTTCGTGACCGGAAGTATCCCCGGATACACACAGAAGGTGTTATTGGTTTCTATGGACGGTTTTCGATGGGATTATTTGAAGAAAACACAAACTCCAAACTTTGACCGCATGGCGCGGCTGGGAACGCATGCGCTGTACATTAATAATACTTTCGTCACAAAGACGTTTCCTAATCATTACACCCTTGTAACCGGTAAGTGTTGTAGGATTATTAAGAGCCTATAAACTATTTTATAGGCGTATACATCATTTAAAACATTCAATTTAATACATTCACATTACGAAGAAAATAGTTGTGAATTATAGTCCACAATATTCTTGGTAATTGTCTTTGAAGGTATGATTCTTATAATGAATAAAATATTTTTGAACACTATTCCACAATTCATCTTAATTACACTATGGCTGGGATTTGAACTCATTTCAGACTTAATAAATTACTTTTTAAGGACTATATGAAGAGAGTCATGGAATCGTCAGTAACCATATGTATGACCCGGTCCTTAATGCCACGTTTGGTCATCAAAGCCACGAGAGTGAGTGGTGGGATGGCGGAGAACCACTTTGGGTCACGGCTAGAAAGAACAACAGGACGAGCGCCACCTTTTATTGGCCCGGAAGTGAAGCAAAAATTCGCGGATATCGTCCAAACATTTGGTTACCTTACAACGAGAGTATTCCTTTTATCCCGCGAGTGGATCGGGTGATCGACTGGTTAGTAAACAAATCAATAGACTTCGTCACATTGTACTTTCATGAACCAGACAAAACAGGTCACATGTATGGACCTGACTCGACACAGATCGTACAAAAGGTCAAGGATATGGACGGGATTCTGGGATACATCTTGGATAGTTTGGATAGGAACTCTTTGACAGACAAGGTCAATCTTGTGCTCGTGAGTGACCATGGGATGACCGGTATTGACCTACAACATAGGCTGATTGATGTCTCTGAGTTGGTCGACATGGATGAGGACATTCTGTTCACGCTGGACAGCGGACCGGTCATGCAGATCAATCCAAGAAAGGATCCACAATACGTCATACAAAAAATACGGAACGCTTCAGTTCCACATTTAAATGTATATCTAAAGGAAGAGATACCAATAAAATGGCATTATAGAAATAATAGGAGGGTAATGCCAATCTTTGCAACAGCGGAAGAGGGTTGGAGTATTGTGACGGTAGGTTTGTTTCTCGATAGTGATGTATGTAGATATAGAGTTTGGATCGGCAATTATATGTGATATTGATATAGTACTGCAGTATTGTGGTTAACTATTTAATGTAACCCATATGTTCATCTTACTACAAACCACTTACATGATACTAAACATGTAACATCACAAAGGTAAATATGCGGAAATGCACGTTAAATCTGATTTCATCTCAGGTCCACTTGGAATGGAAAACATCTACTCTGTATTTAAAGTAGTAAAGTTTAAAATTTTAAATATCAAAAATGCATGAAGAAGCTTTAGCTCTGAACATTTTATATTTAACAAACAATGTTGCTTTTTTGTGATAAAAAAAATTCCTTTTTTCCATCACAACTTCCCATTATCTTTGACCTACAACTTTATCATTCAAAATACCCATGGTGTTGGACTATTTACTTTTAAAATTTTTTGTATGTCAAAAATATATATATATATATATTGTACACGACGCACGACAGACGACGACGTACAAAAAAGATAGCAGATGATTGATTCAACCGACCTAAAATAGAGGGTCAGATTAGTATTGAAACCGTAGTTTGTTCTTTGTCAAATAAAGAACCTTGATGAGATTAGCATGTTTATGTGTTTATTTGCCATTCAGGAAATTAGAAAAAATAGAGTTCATACAGTTAATTGTGACTTTTGATGATGTTTAACTCGATCTCCACAAGATTAAGCATCAAAAATAAAGTTTTCAGCGCCCAAATTTAGTTGTTCACGTGTGACAATCAATGTTTGATTTATACTTCTAATTTTTTTTATGATATTAAATTATCAAATACCTTTCCAGAATGCCACGTTGGCCAAAAGAATAAACGAGAAGGGAAATCATGGTTACGACAACGCTTTACTAAGCATGAAGCCAATATTCCTAGCCATGGGTCCAAACATTCGCCAGAACTATCAAGTACCGGTGTTTAAAAACGTGGACATCTATCCTTTAGTGTGTGAACTTCTTCAGATCCAACCTGCCCCCAACAATGGAAGCCTTCTGCGAGTGAAGAGTTTAATTGTGTCCAAAGACAGTACCAATAATGGTCCTGAACTAAGAGCAGTCTCTTTTTGGATTTGGATTTCATTCTTTTGGAATTCATTTTTATAAAAATATGTGTGTGAGTTTGCTCTGTGAAATACAGTAGGAACAAGTATTCTGAGTAGTTAGAAAGTTTGTGCATAAACATACAACAGATAATTTTCCTGATTCCCCTAAAAAAGAATATACGATTTTGTTTAATATGGCCAAAGTATTAATGACCTTTCAATATTCAATTTTTTGGTTTGAAAAGTGTGATAGTTTGATTTTATTTTATTTACTTTTACTGTTTACTGTTTCATTAAGACCATTGTTGACTTGGGTTTATTTTGTAAAGAACAAGGCTAGTTAAGCATCAAAATTGGCCTTGCCTCCAAATTTGATAAGATTTTTGTTACAAGTAGATGCCCTTTATAAATCATTTTATTTTTAAAATAAAATCTCAAACCGTTTATCTCATAGACTAAATAAAGAAATTTTGGATAAGAAATATCACGTAATTGACGTCATGAAGGCAGCACGGCGTCATCGTGAACTAAGATGCAAATTTTGCTACAAGTAATCGTATATATACGTAAATATTTTCTCTAATCGGAAAAAAAAATTGTTACTATCATGTGCTTTGTGAATAATCTTTTCTTAGACTTTTTAAACAAGGAGCTAGGTTCACTTTATGCATAAAATGACCCTGTTCTTGTATCAATTACTTGACTATCACCTTCTGTCCCATTTCATATATCAAAATAAAGTAGAGACTCAGTGCTCTCATTTCCTATAACAAAATTTCTTTTTGAGAATTCAGGTATTGGAAAACTGGCATTGTGAAAATGCAATGTTCTTGAATTTTGCAGAAAACATGCTTATTTGACTACATTCAGCAAAGAGTTAAAATATGAGCACAGCCCTCGATCCAAAAATTAAACCATGTTTTATGATCTTAAGAAACAGACCTTTCATTATGTAATTGCATATTTTGGATCAGAGGTTGTGCTCTATATGAAGTATTGAAAAAATACTCCAACTTTTGGCCATTCTTAAGGGAAAGAAGGACCTTGAGCTGAAAAAATACTTGTCATTCAATTTTTTTTCATATTTTGTATATTTCTTATTTAGTATGTCCCACATATCTTAAAGCAGTTATATCATTAGGTTTCTTGCCTTATTTTAGAGATATTGATTAATTGACAAATACTATGCCCTACGGTGTCTAAGTGGAGTTTTGATTCTCCATATTTGCGGGCTAATTACTCTGTCCATATTTGGAATTTTTATGCATATATAAAAAAATATCTCAGTGGACATGTATCTTTTAAAATATTTCAGAGTATGAATAGGGTTTAAAATTCGAAAACGCAAGTTTCTTCTAGTACACTGCATCTGGGTAGGGAAAATTACGTACTTTTAAGGACAACTTAACAAAATAATTAATTTACAAGAAATTCTATCATTCAATTTTTGAAAATTTACGTTTAAATGCAGGTCCTTCGTTTTATTGTTTAACTGTAAAAATATCGAATGGTGAAGCTGACCTTAATATTGCTCAGGACATCGTTAAACAAGACAAAAGCATGACAAAAACGTGTCATGTTTACATTTCTCGAGTACGGGAAAAACCAACGTCACACGTAAGCTAAATAAACGAAATAAGATATACCTACATAAGATTTTCGTCATCAGCCATATAAAAATAATTTTTATGTTCCCCGTTTCTCAAAATATCTCATAATATATTGATTATAACCTGTTTTTACACAATAATACTGCCAGTGTATTCACCGAGTATGATCTTGCTGTACTAACAGATCGTGTATGACGTCACCGACTTGTTGGACGCGCAGTGTAGGGAATCAGAGGAGTGGAACAACATATTCCGTAATTTGTTAATGTTTACAAGAATGTTAAAGTTTTTTTTTATTATTTTCATATTAGATGGCAATTAAGGTCAAGATCTAGTAAATGAAAGGTGCCTACAGATTTCTCAAATTTGAGAAATAAATTCCTTTAATTATGCTTTATAACTTTAGCATGGTCAAATAAGGTGTTTTGGGGCATAATTTGTAAGTAAACAAGACAAAAAATCATATTTTAAACTGTCATTTTCAATGAAAAATTAAGAAAACCAGTCATGAATTCGGGAGTTTTTTTCCATATCAGACAAGGGAAATGTATCCAGATTGCCTAGAGTCTCTCAGAAAACGGTAATTTGTATGTTCTTAGCCTCTTCTATAAAATAATATTAAATTGAATAATATAGGTATCGGGATTACTTTTCACATGATTTCAAATTGAATTCCATGAAAATACTTTATTTTCTACATAATTCTATTAAAGCCGTAAAGTACGGGAAAAAGAAAGTTGAAATTGATTATGACGTCATAATGGATCTAGCACCAAAATGATAGTCTAAAGCCATTTACTAGATCTTGACCTTAAAGTAAAATAAATTGTCAAAAATCTATACAAGAACCGATGGTTTACACGTTTTGCACTGTATATAAACGGAAACTATGCGTAGATAAACAGTCATGTGACCATGTGTCCTTCGTCCCCTTAAGGAGGAGAAGGACCTTGAGCTAAAAAAATACTTGTCGTTCAATTTTTTTTATATTTTGTATATTTCTAATTAAGTATGTCCCACATATATTACAGCAGTTATATCATTAGGTTTCTTACCTTATTTTGGAGATATTGATTGAAAAATACTATGCCCTACAGTATCTAAGTTGAGTATTAATTCTCCATGTTTCCGGGCTCATTACTCTGTCCACAATGGGATTTTTTAAGCATATATAATAAATGTTAAAGTGGACATGTATCTTTTAAAATATTTCAGAGTGTAACTAGGGTTTAAAATGCGCAAAAGCAAGTTTTGTCCATTACACTGCAGCTGGATAGGGAAAATTACGCACTTTTTAAGACAACTTAAACAATAAAAAACGTAATTTACAAAAATTCTATCATTCAATATTTTTTAATTTATGTTGAAATGCAAATCCTTCATATTATTTATTAACTGTAAAAATTTCGAATGATGAAGCTGACCTCATTATTTCACAGGACATCGTTAAAGAGGACATAAACATGACAAAAACGTGTTATGTTACATTTCTCGAGTACGGAAAAAACCAACTATGACGTCACAAGTAAGCTAAATATGCGAAATAAGATATACTTACATAAGATTTCCGTCATCAGCCATGCAAAAATAATTTTTGTGTTCCCGTTTCTCAAAATATTTCATCATATACTGATTATGACCTGTTTTTACATAATAACACCGCCCATGTGTTCACCGAGTATGATCTTGCTGTACTAACAGATCGTGTATGACGTCATCGACTTGTTGGACGCGCAGTTTGGGGAAACAGAGGAGTGGATCAATCTTTTTTCATAATTTGTTAATGTTTACAAGAATGTTAACACTTTTTATTTTTTTTTATAAGATGGTAAATTAAAGTTTAAAAATTGTCAAAAATTTATACATGAACTGATGCTTTACACGTTTTGCACAGTTTATATAAACGGAGACTATGACGTAGTTAACCAGTCATGTGACCACGTGTCCTTCATCCCCTTAAAGGAATTTACAGGATACGGTAAAAATGACGCATTTTATGACGTCATAATGCATTGACTATGAAGAAAATTACGTCATGTTCAATAGATACACAGTCAAAAAGGGTCCAAGTGATAAATACTGCATTGTCAACCAAAACGGAGCAGTTTCGATTTTTCTAAAACTCACAAGGCCAAAAAAGGCCCTAAGTGGCCCTTGCTCTTTATTTTATTTGAATCCATAATTATCATGAATATATGATCACTTGAAATATGTTCCGTTGGTCATTAAATTTAATAGGTTTCTGTATGGCAGTAAGTATGAATGTATATAACAAGACATAGTCAACTGTATTGTGATAGTCATTGCCTTATATTGATTTTAATTAACACTGTTTTTCTTTCACATGCCATTAAAATTATGAAATAACTTTCAATAATAAGCTTGATTTAAAATAAATATATTTTATTTAAATAATAAACAGTTAAATAGATTTATAAACAACTTTCTATAATGTAAGTCTAGAAATCTATAGAGTTCTAAAATTACAACTTAACTTTAACCTTGAATAAATAAATAAAAATAGCCATTGGTCAGTATTTTCCCGCCAAAACCTTTAATCCCATTTGTCTAGAGTGTCCAGCTAATTAAACATACACTTCATATACTGTAAGTATGAATTAGAGATGGACCCATTGTCGCGACAGCCGTCGTGTTCTGTTCAGTCAGACACAACGAGATTTTTTTTTTCTAATTACAATTTTTTTATATATAAATAAAATCAGTATTAACAATATTTACACCATAACTATAGGGCGACCTGGCATACCTTCTTTGTGTATCTTAGGAAGCAGATAAAATTGTCCTGGTCTACAGTCAATAGGATTGAGTGTCTCATAGACGTTGATACCAATCTCCATTAAACATGAAGTTGTTATACTTGAGAACATGTTCAAGGAGCTTGGCAAGGGACTCGGTAGAAGGAATTTGTATGGATCTACTATCCCAGACTTCTCTACAGGCTTCGATACCCTCATCGTGCGGAATATTGGTGTACAAAGATGTGACGTCCATAGTCACGAGAAGGGTATGATCTGGAAGGCCAGTAGAGGGCGTCTTGTTAATGTAGTCCGTGGTGTCCTTGAGATAGGATGGCAAATTCTCTACGTGTGGACGGAGATGTAAATCGATTTGTCTCTTCAGTGATGCTCATGCCGAAATGTTGGAAATCCAAAATACATGTATTTCTAAAATAATAAATGATTTTAAAAAATCCTTGAAGATCGGAAAAGGGGGGGGGGATTGCCAAAGACTGGAGCGAAATACATCGAAGGATCAGAGCTATGTAATAAACAATATAACTTGAAACTGTCTTGTATGTTTCTGCTTCGCTACAATATGACATACCACAAATTGAGAACAGACTGAATTGTTTATTTTCAGTATCTAAAGTTTATATGGTGAACAAGCGCTTGAGCAGGATAATAAATCTGTTACACATCTGGTATGATACTTGAAGTTTAAAGCTATTAACACATTACATGTACAAGATCAGTGGCGGATCCAGGATTCTTAAAAACGGGGGACCCAACCAGATCGTGGTCTGGGTACGGGGACCAGGGGGCGAAGCCATCGGAAGCTCTTAGGTTGTAGGAGTTTTATGGAACATTTTTTGACTTATTTTAGCTAAACTCTATGTAAAATTAATGCAATATCCCACAACAACAAAAAAAGATCATTAATTGGTCACAAAAGGGGGCCCTGGGCTACTCTTAATCCGCCAGTGTAAATATTGTGTGAGATTGGGACTCTTCATTAATCTGGGACGATAAAAGGTTCTCTTTACTTATCCTGTCAGGACATAAGTACTTCCGGTGTTTCTAATAACTTTCTTACATTCATTTAATATATAACAATTATATACAGTAAAAACTAAAAATATTACATGACGTTACAAAAGTCATATGTTACTCTTACATTGTATAAAGACAAATAGCACTTACTAGTATATAAACATCTAAAATTTAAATATGTAGCACAGGTATATATGAAGAATATTATAGATAATTTTTATAGCATTATTTTGTAAAAATATGAATAACATTTTTTATTTTTAATTATATTCATTTTTTTGTAAATCCTATATTATGACTTCTTGATAAAACATGGACAGTATACATAATCAGTTTTCATTTTAAGTTCATGATTTTGAGACATGAATCACTGATACATTTTTCTTCGTTTCATTTTTTGCGTTCGGTCTTGTCATAGTTTGTTCTGGTCGATCTCCAGAGGCCCCGGATTGAGACGATTTTCTAACGTTTATCACAGATACATGAGACGGAGATTCGTTTAATTGTATACTAGTATTTGATTCACCATTTTGATTTTTTGCTACTGATATTTTTTTTGAATTCTCTATATTTACACCATTTGTATCGACGGCGTGTTCCTTGGTATTCCCTCCATTTTGTATCACGTGATTTATGCTTCCATGATTTATTAGTTCCTTTTGCTCTTCTGTCGACACAAGATTACCATTGTCGGATTCAACTTCGGTATGCACATTCTGATAATAAGCTCCGACTTCGTTGATGTCTCCAGCATCCTCTTTCTCTGAATCGAAATTCAGTAAGTCCATTTCCGGCAGAATAATTTGGTCGTAAATTGAGCTTATACCGCTGCTGAAATGCCGGTAAGTAATTCCAATGGGGTTCCTTTGTTTTCTGAACGGAATCTTTTTTCTCCTAACATAGGAAATATACTTTAATATACATATATTTTACTATTACTTCACATCACCATTGTAACTAATATAAATGACGTCGAAACTCACCGTTTAAAGACGATTGCTAGTATCGCCATGAGGATTCCAACGATGGTTACAGACACGACTACAGTGATGGCTCGTTCTGTCTTGGCATCTAAAATCATAAGACGTTAAATGATTATCAAAGTAGTTAAAAGGCTCGTAGAACAGGGGGTGGGTGGGTGGGGGGAGCCCCCCACTTTTTCTGAGAATAGTATTTTGCTTTACATGTACATGTAGTTCTTTTAGATGCTTGTCCCCCCCCCCCCCCCCCACACACACTTTTTGATGCTGTAAGGTCGAACACAAGCGAATTCCAGGATTTGAACAGCCAATTGTTTTTTGTTTGTTTGTTAAAATTTTAGAAAGTTGCCCCCCCCCCATCCCCCACTTTTGGTCATTTTAGGTTTTTTTTTTTTTTTTTTGCTTGTCAGATTTTTCTGGGAAGTTGGCCCCCTACTTTTGAAAGCGTTGCTACAGGCCTGGTTAATATTTGACTGTCTAAGTAATATCAAATTTTGTCGTCTATTCTCTTAGTTTGTAAGAGTGACAAACTCAGTAAATTAAAAGTTTTAACTACTATAAGGAGAATTTTAGCACAGTATCACTAATCCACCCCCACCCCAAAAAACCTTAAGCCTTATTCCAGAAACACCTTTATCTCAGTTTTGATAGAACGCTTATTGCTTAGTACAAATATGTGCATTATTCTGCAAGTTTAACGTATTTTTTTAAATAAACAAGCAAATTCAGAGCAGTATGGTACCATTAATTTCTTTTTTAAAAAATATGTCAAACTTCAAGAGATCAAGATTGATTGTACTCCTTGAAAGGTGTTGCCTTTTTATTTATTTTGAAAAGAAGGTTAAACTTGTACATGTGATATATGAATGCCCTATCATCTTTCACTCAAAATTAATTTCTAATGTTAACATTTTAGAAAATTAGGTCAACCTTCACGGAGTCAAGATTCATAGTGCAATCGAAAGAACTTAACATTGTTAATATTTCTTAAACATTAAGAAAATTATAGCCTGTAAAGGTTTAATTATTGAGCTTAACTATCACATTTTTAACAAAGGGTACCTTGCATTTACCCCCAAGAAAAATGTTCAAAGACAATAAAGTACTGCTGAACATAATTCACTGTTGTTTACTTAAGTGGGCAAAATACCTGCAAATATTCATCTTGGCCTATGAAAATGCTGTGAATGCTTTATTTGATCACAATTCAAGTACATGTAATAAACTGTACATTTCAATTTATTTTATTTTTGACCAAATGGCAGATCACACTATCTGCCTAAAAGTATACCACAAAATTGGAACTCTTTAGTGTGCAGTGTATAGAGGGCTCTTAATACACAAAATATGAAACTACTATCTTTCTTCATTAAAAGGTTATGACCAATAAAATATGTAAGAAAATGAAGTCAAACTTCAAGGTCATAGGGTACTAAAATCATAGTGCATTCGAAAAGGTCTTATCGCAGGTAATGCGCATGTGAAATATGAAAGCCCTGTCTTTGCTCATTCAAAAGTTATACGCAAGGTTAAATTTTTAGTGACGGACGAATGGGATTTAATGATCTCATGCTTTATAAAAAGCGAGATATAATAACATTCTACACATGATTTTAACTCGATGTGTAAAACTGTGAATCATGTGGCATAAGAGAATGTGATAAACCAAACAACTTTATGTGTAAGATTATAACCTGTTCCGGTCTGTGATTCAGGCGCTATCGGTCCCTGTGTTACTGCTTCTGATGCTGTGGTCTTAGTTGTCACTTGAGTGCTTGTTGTTGCAGTAGATCTTTCTGCTGTTGTTTCTGTTGTTGATGCTTTCGTAGTTTCTTCTGGTGTAGATGGTGATAGATTTGTGGTTGTAAATCCTGTTGTTACCTCGGTCACATTTGTTGTGGAACTTTCCATCGAAGTCATAGGAATTTCTGTTGTGGAACTCTCTGTTGTTAGTTTACTTTCCATTATTGTTGTTTGACTTCCTGTAATGGTAGGATGTTCTGTTGCTGTGAAACTTTCTTTTATTGTTGTACCTCTCTCCATTGTTGTCATTCTAGAACTTTCCATTGTGGGATTTTCTGTTGTAAGGCTTTCTGTTGTTGAACTTTCTGTTGTTATGGGACTTTCGGTTGTTGATTTTTGACTTTCTGCTGTTGTTGTTTGAATTTCTGTTGTTGTAGGGTTTTCTGCTGTTGTTGTGGAACTTTCTGTTGTTGTGGGACTTTCTGTTGATGTGGGACTTTCTGTTGTTGTACGACTCTCTGTTGTTGTGGGACTTTCTGTTGTTGTAGAACTTTCCGTTGTTGTGGGACTCTCTATTGTTATGGAACTTTCTGTTGTAGTAGGACTCTCTGTTATTGTGGGACTCTCTGTTGTTGAAGGACTTTCTGTTGTTGTGGGACTTTCTGTTGTGGTTGTGTGATTTTCCGTTGTAGTGATTATGCTTCCTTCTGTTGTTATTGTAACTGTGGTAGTGTCTAATAAATCATTAGCCTACAATAAAATTAATGGTTTTTGGATCATGCATGTATCATTATATATATATATATATATATATATATATATATATATATATATATATATATATATATATATATATATATATAATATTGCATGTAGTTGATTGTAAAATTGAAATTTTCACCCCAAGAAAACCATTGTCAACCGAGTCTACACTCATCTACATGCAATTTTTATTATATTATACTGAATATTTTATACAAATACATGTAACACTGAACCTTTTGCGCATAAATTATGCGCAGTCACTTCTTTTTGGAATAACACCCATCGTCAAGCAATGTTAAATGTTGCTACGCTGGAGGGCGTGGCTTCATCATTCAGCGGGTAAAAGTGTTTTTTAACAAATGTTTCTCGACGAATAAGATTCAACTAATTTACATGAACATTATCATATATTGAATGTTTAATACAAGGCATTTTCAATGCAGTTTATACATACATTTCCACAGACTGCATAGGCTTTTTGAGAAATGTCATCACATTTTTCAATAAAAGAGCATCTCGACTGACCAAAGCAGATTTGACAACTTGTCACAACACCGGGAGTCTCTCCTGAAAAAAAAATCTTTGTTTGTAAAGTTTATGACAAGATTTTTAAAAGTTAGTTTACACCATCGAGAAATGGGGAAATAACTTTTAATCAGATATTTCTCTCTGTCTCTCTCTTTTCTGAATCACTGTCTCATTCTTCGTCCGTAGTGTGTCGTTTAACTTTTCACATGTAAGACTTTTTTGAAAACACAGCAAATGATAATGCATCCTTGAATTTGTTCAAATAAAGGAGCATGACCTGAATTTAGTAATAGTGCAAAGTGGGTAAGATAATTTTTAAAAAAATAAACTTTTGTGAAAGCTTTCTAAAATAAAGCTGTTTTTAAATAATTGGCCCTAAACCTTAATATAAGACCGCGGACCATTAACTGGCAAAATTGGAAATATGCAGCTTACGTCATTTCCATCTATCGCAGTCAAACACTTGATAATATACAATGAAATGGGCGGGTACAATTTGACACGGACGTCTGCGAAAACATTGGATTAAAATTGCAGTTCGAAATTCATTTTCAATCCACCTGAGCTATTTTTAGCAAAGCTATAATTATATGATCGAAACGACAAATAATTTCAGTTCCCAAATGCGTATAGTTTGAAATTAATGTATAACAATTTTCTATTTTGAGGACAAACAAAAGTTATAGAAGATATAGCTATATGTATATTCTTTTAGGGGAAGACCATTTGATTCTAGAAGTTGGGGGGGGGGGGGCTAGCAAATTTTGTCGAATCAGATTATTTATGGTTATGTCTCACATGAAAGAATATATTAAATATTTGTAGGATGAAAAAAGACATTATTTATTTTCTTCTTCACTGAAAAAAAATTTGAAATTCAATTTCAATCCATCTGAGCTGTTTTCAAACCTTAAGGAGGCTGGGGGGTCAACAAATTAACCACTAGATTTAACTTAATTTTTTAGATATGATATCTTAAGCTTTCAACTATCATTTGGCAAAGAAAAATTTCAAAAATTTTGGTTTTAAAATTTGATCATTTTCTATATCTTCATATGGAGCTCTTCTTCTAAAGGAGATCAATATAGTCTAAAAATGGCCACAACCCCCCAGCCTCTTTAAGTGTGAATGTATGATTCAAAAGACAAATAAATTCAATTCCCAAATACATATTGTTTGAAATTCATATTTATATGAGTTTTTTAGCCTATAATTTTAAGGACACGTCAAAGTCCTAGAATACATAAATATAATTTATCAGGGGACGGCCATTTGATTCTAGAAAGGGGGGGGGGTGTCAAAAATTGTCGAGTCAGATCATGCCTTCACATGAAGAATGTATTAATTTTTAGGATGACAAGAGCTTTTATTTTTTAGTTTTTTCTTCTCTGAAAAATGTTTGACAAACAAAAACAGGGAGGGGTTGTCCAAACTAAAATAAAACGTTCTTATTCATTTCCAAGATCGTTCAGTCCCTCCCCCTCCAACCACCCAACACACACATACCAAACAGAAATCAAATATTTTTCCCTTTATATTTCTTTAAAAACATGGGATAGAAAATTCTGATTTATATATATTTCAAATTATTTGTCTTCTGTGTCAATCAGTAACACCGTGCGTTCTAGCGTAGCTGAGGTGGATTGAAAATGGATTTCGAATTGCAATTTCAATTCCAATGTTTTCGCAGACGTCCGTGCCGAATTGTACCCGCCCATTTCATTGTCTATCATTAAATGTTTTGACGGTAACAGATGAAAATGACGTAAGCTGCATATTTCCAATTTTGCCAGTTAATGTTCCGCGGTCTTATCTTTGAGATTCGGTCTCAAAATAGGTTTAAAATAAACAACATCTTTAAAATTCTTCTCAAAAAACTCTCAAACAAATGCAAGCATTTTTGTTTTTGGAGATTCGACTTTATTGAAACCATGGCCCCAAAACGGTACTACCACAAAACGACCCAAAGTTTGAATTAACATAGGGAAACCTTACAATTTTAGAATGCCAATTGTATTTTATTGAAGCTATACTCTAGTAATACTTATTCAATCCTTAGGACCGAGGGCAAGAATGGGACTACAAAAGGGGTTATTTTTTTAATTTGTAGGAAGTTTTATAAGAATAATTTTTAAGAATAAAGGGGTATTTAATTTTAAAATTCATATGCAGTCACCAGAAGTTAAGACTCAATGCTTTCAAAACAAAAAAAAATTCAAAGAAGAGCTAAAAAACGTCAAACGTTCACCAAAAGGTTCTCTTGTAGGATAGAATCCTATCAGTATACCATTGTCATTACGACAAAATGGAGTACATAAAGTTGGCGTTTTATCATGGAGTAGATGAGAGAAGGGAATGCATGACATGGTTCAGAAACTTGCCATGAGACTATTAGGTTATCATTAGGGCTAATGGCCGCTTGTTAGCCTAAGCAGTCATCTTAAGATGAATAAAGGCAACGAAAAACTCATGAAAGATGCAGTCTTCTCCGATTATACCCTAATTCCTCTTTAAAACGAATTTATGTTTAATACTCAATATTTCAAAGCTTTGAATGCTGGTCAGGCTGTGATAGTCCTTGGGTTTAAAACAAATGAACATGTGTATTATAGACTCCCGGTGAATGAGGGAGCATCAGGCAGATTGAACCGGTGTCTAAGATGTATAGTCTTTCCATTATATGTTTACTTTGGAATGAAAGGTCAAGGTTGTCAGGTTTCATGGTCCCAAACAATTGTCAAAATTGGAATATTATAGTAATTACTTGAATTTTAAGCTTAATTAATAGTTTGCATGAGGAGATCATACCTCTGTCCTTGGTTAGATAGACTTGCCTGGCCACTCCCAGCCAGGTTTCCGGGGTGTTACTTTTTATGTTACTAAGACTGTTACACAGCGCCCTGGGGTCTTCTTTCAGACTGACATTACCGTACAGGTAGCTCCCCTCCGCTCTACACTCAGTGTATGTCTCGCTCCAAGACTTAAAGTCATCCTCATCTGGGGCCAGGGTTTTATTGGTACTCTCTGAAACAAATAAGTAAGAGGACTCGATCAATTTCATCATTTTAAGTTTATTTTTCTTTGGATTTGTGATTGTATTACTCACTGCATGTTAGTGTCTTTTACAACGGTCTGTTATGAGAATGTTATGAATTTCTCTGATTATCAATGCTACATTAGTAATAACAATACAAGGTGAATTGTTCTTTAGAATTAAACTGATCAGTTTGAATTACATATCCATACCTTCTGATTGGCAGATGCGACCCAGGTCCTCAGTACAGTTGTTGGTGTGAATCTGTGCATACTGCTCATAACATCCCAACACTACACAGTTTACTGTCCTCTCTAGATAAGGTAAAAAAATAATATCAGATATTTACTGTCATATTCAGTAATCGAATTTCACTAACAAGAAGGGAAAAAAACAAATGAATAGAAAACCCACCACTGCGTAAGTTATTGTTTGGTGTTACTCTGTAGACGTTATAGGTGTCGCTTCCTCCGCAGTCGTTCACGTGACTATCATCTTCAGAAGGACAGTACCAATTGCAGAGAGAGGGAGGGTGACCATTATTCTGGGGAACATTTTCCAGGCAAAGACACGTGTTGTTCTAGAGGGAAAAAGCTTTTTTTGTATGTAAAATGTCCTCTTCAACACGCTAACTGCTTTTCCAAAATATTATACATGTACTAATAAACACACAATATATATCATACATGTTTAATCAATTACTCAGTATTATATATACATGTATATAGCCTCCTGATTTAGCCTAACTTGTACGCCCATTACAGCATTTGACTTTTTATTTATAATGATAATCACAAAAAAATGAGATTCTCACTTTCATTGATATGCAAAAGATAAACATTTTCACAAAAACTTGTAATAGATATAATCATTGTCAGATTGAGCTCTTCTACACACAATACACAGCACACCTTGAGAGCGAAGCGGTTAGAGGGGCATCTCTCCTGACAGAGTCCCACTGATCCCCTGACAAGTCTGTGAGTCGATTGCACCCTTAGGCTCTCCACAAACTCGTCATCATAGCATCCTGAAAAGCAACTTCATTTTTGAATATGTCTTCTTTTTTTTTTTTTTGTGTCGTTCATGCATGCTTTGTCATCTTTTCAAAGGATTAAGTTTCTGTCAAATTGTTTTTTAATGTTGTGTGTACCCTTTTGAACAAAAAAAATTAAAGCATACATGTATTTAGATTTGTGCATTTATGAATAACTTTACCGTAGTAAATGAGTTGTATGGTATTGGATTATGAAGTGACATACAGAAAATACAATTTTAGACTTCATAAGATAATTACCAATTTTATTGAACACTTTATAAATGCAAATACACATGTAGTTATGATTAAATATAAATTTTTGAAGTAAAACACATCAAAACAGCTATATATCCATCGACACCCAATGTCAATGTTTTTGAAATGACCAACCTGCGGTGAATGAGTTTTCTTATCAGTGTTTATACTGTATACCTAGGACGTGTATCCAGTCAGAAAGTCTATGATGATATCCTGTCCAGTGTGGGGAGGGGAAATCCTCCTTTGTCCCAGGGATCAGAATTTCTTGCTTGTCACTACAGAATTTCTGGGCCGCGATCCAAGTTAAGTTATTTTTTGACACAACCAAACTTTCGCCTTGAAAGAAATACTGATTTTATTGCTATGTATACGTGATTTATATAAAATTTGTTTTAAATCTACGAAAAAAAATTAATAAACGATTTTGAAGAAAATCATAGCAAAAAAAATGTAAATAATACAATTTGTACTAAAGATTTAAAAATTTGCGTGTTTTTTAAATATCAAAATGCATTGAACCTGTTCATGCAAAGTAGAAAAAAAAACACAAGGATATATACAACAATGTAATGACACCTGATATTCATCATATTATAGCGGTTTTCAATCACAGTAAAAGGATTTACGGACATAATTCTTTTTAAGACGTTATCAAATGACATAATATATTAATCCTTGTTTATCTGCCAATGACGGAAATGTGTATGCCTAGAGAATTATGATAATCTTCTTGTTTTAGCCCTATCTCAATCCATCTTTCTATGCGTCACTGGTTATTCGCAAAATGAAGCATCGAAGGAATTTCACTTTTGAAAGACATTTCATTCTTTAAAAATATTGACCATAATAAACACAGCGTAGTATATTTTAATACCATAATTCCAAATTCCCACTGTTCGTTAGTCATTTTTACAAAAAAAATCTATATTTACATGGATCCTTGAAGAAAGTTTTGCGTTAATTGCAATGTGCACGCTAGATATACCTCTGACTAGAATGCTTGACTGGTTTGCCGTGCACGGTGTAGAGTGTGACATAGGTCAGGTTTGAAAAATACAGGAGAAATAAACGAATAATTTAATTTTCTTACCTTGATAAATAAGATGAGACAAGATAAATAATTGCCAGGTGATCATTGTCTACTTTATATATATCTGGGTATTCAGCGATTTAACTTCCGCTTGCCGACACCCTCAGCTCTTCCCAGACATATTAAATTCAAAAGGTTGCCACGACGATAGACCTACATAATACAGTGAAACCGGACTCCCCCTTTTCCCATTCATTGTTAGTATAATAAATGAATGCTTCAAGGAAACCCCAAGAGCAGTTGACTTCTAAGACTATGTTAAGTAGTTCCCGGTACTAGAATTTATGTTGTGGGACCGTGAAAAGATATTGGCTGAATGAGTGAATGAAAAATTGAAAATAACCATGTCTTTAAAAGGGATATTTAAAAAGTAGATTTGTTGAAGATAGATAGTATTTTCATTTAATCAATAGCACAGGGAACTTATTTGTCGATTTAAAAAAAAAAGCATTGTTTAATCAGTATGCCGGAAAATTGTATTTAGATTTGTAAACCTTATTATATGCCGTATTTAAAATGGTTTGAGGAACATGATGTACTTTTAAAAAACCGAAAACATACGGAATAAAGCTATAATTTATATCAAAGCATTATAAATAAAAATTGAAATTGTTCAGTTTTAAAAACTTTTTTTTTTAAATGTACATAATTTAGGGGAAAACATTTTAGTGTAATATTACAAAAAAAAAAAAAAAAAAAAAAAAAAAAAAAAAAAAAAAAAAAAAAAAAAAAATCACCTCTTGATCATCCATAGAGCAGCCTAATGTGTTTCGGGGATCGTAATTTGAACAACCTTAATTTATGCTATGAAGTTTTCATATATACTGATATTTTTTATTTAAATTAATCTCCTGGAAGGAATATATCGTCCTTCTAATTTGGCGCAGTAAATACCATAAATTTTCCCTACTCAAGTGCTTTGGGCGTAAATTGGGGAACTTGACTGCATGGCTGTTTCTGGGTGATACTTTAAAAAATAGGAAAAGAGTAGTGGACGGAAAGGCTGACGAAGAACAATTTTGGGTTGTAATTATATTGTTTTTTTGTTTGTTTGTTTGTTTTGTTTTGCTTTGTTTTGGTTTTTAGCTCACCTGAGCCGAAGGCTAAAGTGAGCTTTTCTGATCAAAGAGTGTCCGGCGTCCGTCTGTCCTCTGCCATCCGTCGTCTGTAAACTTTTCACATTTTCGTCTTTTCAAGAATCACTGGGCACATTTCAACCAAACATGCCACAAAGCATCCTTGGATTAAGGGGATTTAAGTTTGTTTACAGGAAGTGTCACGCACTCTTTCAAGGGGAGATAATTAAGGATTTGGGAACATTTGGTGGCATCTTTTAAGAATCTTCTTCCCAAGAACCACTGGGCAAGAGAAGATGAAACTTCTGTTAAAGCTTCATTACATACTCTAGATTCAAGTTTGTTCATATCATAACCCCCGGGGGTAGGGCGGGGCCACAAGAGGGGGTCAAAGTTTTACATAGGAATATATAGGAAATGTCTTTAAAAATCTTCTTATCGAGAACAGCAAAGCCATGATTAGTCATATTATAATAGAAGGATCCTCAGGTAGTATAGATTCAAGTTTGTTCAAATCATGACCCTTGGGAATAGGGCAGGACCACAACTGGGGGGGGGGGGGCAAAGTTTACCATAGGAATATATAGGAAATATCTTTAAAAATCTTCTTCTCAAGAACAGCTAAGCCATTATTAGACATATTAATACAGAAGTATCCTCAGGTAGTGTAGATTCAAGTTTGTTCGAATTAAGAACCCCGGAGGTAGGGCGGGGTCACAACAGTGTGTCAAGGTTTACATTGAAATATATAGGTGTAATGGTTAAGGGGCATTTGAGAAAACGCATTGAAGACTTCAGATAGTAAAATGACATGACAACCCTTCGAATGGACTAGCCTAAGGGTATATAAGGCAAAGTTTTGGGAAAGTCAGACATTCAGAAGGTAGATGAAGAAGTTGGATGATTGATCAGCAAAGACGAAGTTAAGGTATTCCATCCTAATAGCAATAGATTCAATGAAATTGAAAACATAACAGATGTGTAGGTGTTGAATACTCATTATATTTAGACATAATTCCCATTTATTATTATTAGCACGTAGGGATGGGATGTGTCCTAATTTATGATCTTGAATTTTGGTAAGAGTTATCTCCCTGTTTTTAATTTTTTGTTGTTTAACGTCCTTCTCGAGAATTTTTCACTCATATGGAGACGCCACCACTTGCGGATGGAGAGCTGAAAATTTTGTCCTATACTCGGCACTTGGGGCCATTGAGCAGTGAGGGATCTTTTTCGTGCCAACACCTACTGCGACACGGGACGTCGGTTTATACGGTCTCATCCGAAGGATCGGTCTCCACGTCCCACAGTGGGATTCGAACCCGCGACGTAAGGATCAACCCCTTACGCCGCGACTCTAGAGCGAACGCTCTAACCACTGCGCCACGCGGGTGACCTGTTTTTTTATTAATAAAAAATCAATTTTAAAAAAAAAATTATCTGTAAAAAAAATCGTTTTCAATTGTCATTCTATTTCTAATGTGTTTTAGTGCTTTTTTCCATTACAGTATTTATTGATATTTTTATTATTTGAATTTTTATTTTTAAAAAATTGCTCCACAGACTTCAATGCAATCTTTGTTCAGTACTTACTGCTTAATTAATTACATTTTTGAAACATTCTTTTGGTAAATCCTTTTCTACAGTAAAATGCTTTACATTAGTATCAGAGTATTATGTATGCGATGAACATTTAAGGATAGAGGATGGAAAACCTTAAGGGTAAAAGCAAAATGAAGGTATAAAAGTTATAAAAACCAGAGGCAAGTATCCTAGGGAATTGAAGTTGAGCTCTGGGTGTAGTAAATCTGAAGAAGATTGATCCAACTGGTTCCTATCTATCAATGGGAACCTAGGGGAGAAAATCGGTGCAAGAAGTACCTTACCCAGTCCCCATCTCTTGGTAAGAGAAAATTTAAGAACATATACCCTCAGATGGAGCTGTCTTAATAATCATTTCAATCATTAACTCGGACAGAGTAAAAGGAAAACCAATTTATCCCTTGTAAGAGCCTGATCATACACGTTACATAAGAAATATCCTTGAAATCTTCTCCTCAAGAACAACTAAACCATTATCAGTTATATTTATACAGAAGCAACCTTAGGTATTGTAGAATCAAGTTTGTTCAAATTATGGCCCCCAGGAGTTAGGAACACAACAGAGGGTCTTTTTTTTTTTAAGTTTTGCAAAAGAATATATAGGAATCATCTTGAAAAAAAATCTTCTGCTCAAAAACAGCAAAGCCATGACTAGTCATATTATTATAGAATCCTCAGGTAGTGTAGATTCAAATTTGTTCAAATTTATGGTGGGTAGGGTGGGGCCACAATGAGCAATCAGAAGTTTACATAGGAATACATAGGGAAAAAATCTTTAAAATTATTCTGTTTAAGAACAGCAAAACCATGAATAGTAATATTGATATAGAGGCATCCTGAGGTAGTGTAAATTTAAGTTCCCCCTTTCAATACTGAACTGACTTCTGCTTCTTACTAGCCAGTGCGCTCATATGAGCGATTTGGCCCATGTTCTTGTTGTTGGGTTTTTTTCCGTTTTTTTTTTTTCAAATATTATTTGTCATAATAACTATATTTTATTGTCCTGTTCTTGTAATTTTTATTTTGTTCGAAGATCAATCGTTTTCAAACAAAACAAGCTGGTACCTGATATAAAATTTACTTGCTCAATTCGTTATGCTTTACTTTAATCGTTGATTTTTTTTTTATTAATGCCAAAAGATTTTTTAATTAATATAAATATTTCCTTACAATATATCTTTCACTCCGGTTACATAAACACAGTACAATAAATAGATTATTTTATCAATACATCTGCAAATCAACATGTTTTTACCACTTACTCAGTATAAGTAATATTAACTAAAGGATTTGTTTCCAAAAATGAACACAGATAGATAATAATAAATATTGAAAACTAAAAAATGTAATAAAAAGGAACGTTTTGTAAAATCTTATTCCTTGCTATATCAGTAATATGTATGTCTTTTGCATTAACTCTATAAAATGTTATTTACACTAAACTTGCATTGTCTCCTGATATGAAAAAACATTCAAGAGGAAAAAAAATGATGTCATTGGTAACATGTGATTGTCAGTGGGAATGTTACTATGGTAACATGTACAAACATCTGGGTAACAGCAATCATATTGCCAGATTGTAGTTATTTCCTCCCAAAATCATTAAAGGGCTTGTAGCCATGACTCTTATTATAAATATTTGAGACTTGTATAAACTTCTCTAGTTTTTTTCTGAATACAAATACTAGTAAAAAGCAATGAACCAAATCTGTTAGAATTTAGATACTTGAATAATGGAGACATTTTTCTTGTTCACTGGATTTCCACTACTTATATTTGCAATTGGCAGTGGCATGCTGTTTGCCGTTGCCTTGGTAACCGGAAGTCTGACTCCATCATCTTTTGATGGTATTGTCTTTGACCTATCAACATATGGCACATTCATTTCCGTTTGCTTTGTGTTTGTATTTTCGGATGCTGTTTTCTCTGCTTCTTTAGTCCTGGTTGTATCGATATCTGTTGTTGGAATCTCTTTAGAATCTCTCAGATTTTTGGCATCATTTTCTGGTATGATTTCTGTACAATAAGGTGTATTTTCGACCTTCCTCTTTATTATTTCACTCTTGTCTTCTGGACTGTCTTTTAGAATACCTTCTTCTGTGTTTGGACAATTGTCCAGTTTGTTTTCTGTATCTATTTGCCTGGTATCATTGTCCAGTTTGTTTTCTGTATCTATTTGCTTGGTATTATTGCCCAGTTTGTTTTCTGTATCTATTTGAGTGATAGACTGTTGGATGAGATCATTGGTCGATCCTAGCTTTGCTTCATCTGATTTACCATTGGAAGAATCTCCAGTCACCACCTCTGATTCTTTTAACTCCTTCTTGTCATTCCTTTTGTTAGATTCCCTTTGTGTATCTTTCGGTATCGATACAGATGGAGTCGGAGATTCGAAGCCAATTGTTTTACTATTTATGTTTTCTTTCATGAACGAATCTACCGAACCTTTGCCTCTTTCACTTTCAATTACAACATTCTTTCCGAACTTTTCCCCAGGGACTTCGTCTGGTTTACCAGACCTTTGTCTCCGTTTTCTAAATGTAAATGTTTTTAAAAATTGATAATGATAAGAAATCATAAGAAATGAAAGTCTTTGAAATTACAGAGACACTTACCGGATGCAGACAACTCCAATAATTACCAACACGATCCCCACAACTACAAGGGATACTGTAATTGCAATTGCTTGCTTTGCATCGTCACCTTCCAAAAATATTGGATACCATGTTAAATTTTGAATCACCATTTTATTGCTTTGATATTTAGATATAAGTTCGGAAATAATTTCTTGGACTAAACACGTGTTCTGAAAAATCAGCAAAGCAATGTGTGTACAAAATTCAAGTCAAAGGAAAATTTACATTTTTGTTATGTAGAACAGTAAGTCTTTAGGCATTTTTAATTCAAAATTTAGGTAAATCAACGTTAATATCTATTTTCTGTATAAAAGACTTTATACCGATCCCGGTTTTAGGTGCAGGTGCAGCCGTAATTGCTCCTGAAGTGCTGGTCATCGTGGATGTTTCCCCTGTGCCTAGTGTAGGTGGTAGCAAATCGTCCTCCTTTGAATTTAATTGCTTCTATAGTTAGAATTTTCTAAAACTATTTAATTTTTAAGCGAGCTGTCATTTTGCTTAGTTACACTGATACCTACATTGCCACATATTGCGGTTGCTTTCATTGTATTACTATTACAGTTATCTACATAGGAACATCCCGCCTGTCCTTGACAAATGCTGCAGTCTATCACAACTCGCCCATCCAGCTGTTCTCCTGAAATGGTCTCTCGCAGGATTAACCATACTTATACACACTACATACATGTAATGACTGCTTCAAAAATATGTTCAATGTACAATATCCAGATAAACAGCTGATAATTGTTATTCTTACGTTGATAATAACACTTTAATCTGAAACTGAAAAATAAAAGAAGTCCCAATATTTCAGTTTTATGCTGTAGCATGATTGACAACACAACAAACCTCTGTCTCTGGTCCGGAAAACTTGTCTGGCCACCCCCAGCCAGGTTTCCGGGGTGTTACTTTTGATGTTGTACAGCTTACTACACAGTGCTCTGGAGTCTTCATTGAGGCTGAGGTTACCGTAAAGGTAGCTCCCTCTCTCCCTACATTCCGTATAGGTGTGATTCCAGGACTTAAAATTTTCTTCGTCAGGGGCAATCGTTTTATTGGTACTTGCTAAAAATATGAGGGGAAATTATGTATACAAATTTAAACTCTCTCTCTCTCTCTCTCTCTCGGAGAATCTGGATTACAGCAAATAAAAAATATTCCTATGACTATCCTTACCTTCTGACTCACAGACTCGACCCAGGTCCTCAGTACAATTGTTGGTGTGGATCTGTGAATACTGCTCATAACATCCCAATACTACACAGTTTACTGTCCGTTCTAAAATGGTAATTTGAAACTAAGAAACTAATTTTTTATATAATCATGTGATAATGTTTATCCATTAAAGTTGTTTGCTTGTTTGTATAGTTTTTGTACATTTGTAGCCATATGAAAATACTTTAAATTACTGCATTGAAACTAACCACTAGTTAAGATATTGTTTGTTGTTACTCTGTAGACATTATAGGTGTCGCCTCCTCCGCAGTCGTTCACGTGACTATCATCGTCAGAGGGACAGTAATAATCACATCGTGAGGGAAGAAGACTATTAATCTGGGGTGTCTCCCTCAGGCAAAGACACGTGGTGTTCTGTAAAAAGACAAAGACACGTGGTGTTCTGTAAAAAGACAAAGACACGTGGTGTTCTGTAAGATGAATCATAGTTCTTTTTGCATAACTCTCTTTTGCTTTTTTGTCCAAGCAAATATTTCAAATTTTTATATACATGTGTTTGTGTGTTGATGATCTACCTTGTCAAGATATAAATTTTTAAAGTACACAAGAGAAGTTCTGTAGATGTGAAGTAAAGTAAGACAAAGACAAAAAGATGAAAGTCTGTTAGGATAATGTTGTTAAAAAAACCTACAAGGCAATATTTATGTCTTCTTCCAAATTTTAAATGATTTATTCACAGTGTTAAATGACAACATACAGATGATCATATTAAATATTCTGCAGCCGTGAACTAAAATCAAACAAAGAAAAAAAAAATGAGAGTTGATTATACAGTGCTTTCAAACTACAATTTAACATATCAAATTTTAAATGATTCAGTTTTCTTTTTTGGACCTGAAATATAGATCTGAAACGAACAGAGATGCTTATTTTTATTTCAGAATGAATTGAAATTAATTGAATACCTGAAGAGCGAAGCTGTTTGATCCACACCTCTCTTGACAGAGCCCCACTGACCCTCTGTCCAAAGTATAGTTAGAGAGGACCACCAGATCTTCCACAGACTGGACACCATGACAGCCTTAAGAACATTAATTCTAAATAGCTCTGTTGTCCCTACTCCACTATACTGTTTATCACATCTCTCTTGCATTTAAATCATTCATTCACAATTATTTTGTGTGATTTGAGTTAGATGGGGAGTTTTATTGTTTTCTTTCTAGTTTCTACTGAGGCAAATGGATAATGAGGCCTAAGCCCGAATTTAATTTGTAAGAAATAGAAGTTTCGTAATGAATTCGCTTACCAAGAACGTGTATCCAGTCAGATAGTCTATGATAATATCCTGTCCAGTGTGGGGAGGGGAAATCCTCCTTTGTTCCCGGGATCAGAATTTTTTGCTGGTCACTACAGAATTTCTGTGCCGCAATCCACGTTAATGGTTCTGATGATTCCAAGAAGCTCTCTCCTTCAAAAGAACAAAAGCAATATCGAGTGTTCTGGAGATAAAGAATAAGGATTGCTGGAGGTACCAAGTCCATAATTTCGCCCAGTCTGATAGGATTATGTATCTTAGAAAATAAAGACAAAAGTTCCGTCTGAAATCAATACATTTACACTTGATATGTAAACAGTTTGTGTTAGTAGAATACCAATTTGGTTGAGAGTTTGTGTAAAGAGATTTAAAACAATCCCTTTGTTTTCGACTTTATCATAAACCATCTCGCCTTGCACCACTACCTATTCAAACAAATCGACTACTCATCAAATGATATGGTAAACGGCAACCTGAGACGACGATGATCATTTTCACAAATTAAAGTTTTCCTAAATATTTTGTCACATTTTCACAAACTAACAGGGTATACACTGAAGTGAAATACACTGAACATAATGCACACAATACACAACGTACTGAAAATCAATTTTAGAAAATTATTTAAAATATAGTACTTCACCTTGTGCTACTATTAGTATCAGGAGGAGGATCTGTTTACCTCCCTCAGACATCCCTCTCGTACATCAACAGATGGGCGTTTTACACAGAACCAGTCTTTCTACTTCCGCGTACCGCTTTACCTCAATTCTTTATAGAAATTTAAATTTCAACTCTAGAACTCCAATGTGAAGTTTCAGTTATAGCAAATGCAGGGATTTAAAAACAAGTTTTTGTGTTATACAATTAACTCTTTATTTTTGAATGGAGAAGTATGCAACTTATACCTAAGGAAGTTTAAAATCCTTGTCTGTCTTATTGATCAGTAATTACTGATTCACACGTGTTACCAGGTGGATTTCATTAATTATTTGTATGTTCTCCGTTCCATCTTCAACTTCAGGAAATCCAGTTTATTTTTGTGTAAAATGCCATTCCTGCCATTTAAAGCGACCAAACAAACGTGAATCTCTACATAGAGGAGCGCCTGAAGTATTTCCTTAAACACTGTAGCAATACTTACTCATCAATTTAAATTTCATTCTCGTCCAACATAATATTTAAATACCTCTCATTCTATTATTTTAAAAGAATAAATCTACATTTCCATTCGAAATATATTTTACCTTTTCAAGACTAGTCTTTCTAAACGAAGAGTAAACATTTTGTATATTTTTTTGTTTAAGAATTACATGAGATCACCGCTGATATCGATGTGTTCATGTCGATATGAATTTGCAGCGTCACGAATGCATGTGTACGTTTTAAAATTGAAAAAGATGGAGATAATTAACAGATAATTTCTTATTTGTGGGGACAAGTAACGTCCGCGCATTCCCTCAACAGTGGCTGTCAGCTATCATCCGCAACTGTACTCGGCAATGCTGGTACCGGACATCCATGACTGTACCTGCTCACTAATATCAAAAACGGAATGTCAGAGCAAGACTTTCCGGATTGTTCAACGTATTAAACTGTATGTTGTTAATTAAGTATGGATTGTTTTTTTAATGAAACATACGAAATGTGTTAATAATTAATCTACTTTATGGAAGGCTGTAATCGCCAAAACGGTAACGATAACTAGCTTAGTGAATATATCGCGGAAAATATATTTGTAAGCTTGACTATGCCTAAATCCATTGCATAGATCGCTATTATCTCTAAAAAGTAACATTTACTACAGCGTACATTTTGTATATCTATGACTGTATAATACAACATCTGCGACTGTACCTGTGCCGTACATACACACTACCACTGACTCAACCCGCGCTTGATTAACTTAACCCGCGCTTGATTAATAACATCCACAACCAGAAGTCTCTGATGAGACTGTAGCTCTACTGGTCTGTTTGTATAACAAAAGAAAAGTAGCACTTGGATTTGAAACATTGCAACATGCAACAATAAATAGAATTATGTATCTTAATGTAGTCTACTTTTGTGACAAGTTATATTGAAATCAAATGAAAACTAGGATTAGTAGCGTTTTGAAAGTATTTCACGGAAATTCCTATTTTTAGTACCGGTAACCATGACAACATCACTCACCCAAATAAAAAAAAAACAGAAATACATATTATGTATCGTAGTGTATTCTTACTGTGTGCCAAATTAGATTGAAATCAGACCAAAATTGTAGGAGGAGTAACGTTTTAAAGGAATTTCACAGAAATTTCTATTTTAAGTAACCATGGCAACACTGTTCATCGAATTCAAAAACCAATGCAATAATTATGTATCTTAGTATAGTCTTCTTGTATGCCTAATTATATTAGAAGCAGACTAAAACTGTAGCAGGAGTAGTGTTTTAAAGGAATTTCACAGAAATTTCTATTTTTAGTAACCATGGCAACACTGTCCATCGAAATCAAAAACCGATGCACTAAATTATGTATCTTAGTCTAGTCTACTTGTGTGCCAAGTTATATTGAAATCGGACTAAAACTGTAGCAGGAGTAGTGTTTTAAAGGAATTTCACAGAAATTTCTATTTTTAATAACCATGGCAACACCGTCCATCGAAATCAAAAACCGATGCACTAAATTATGTATCTTAGTGTAGTCTACTTGTGTGCCAAGTTATACTGAAATCGGACTAAAACTGTAGGAGGAGTAGCGTTTTAAAGGAATTTCACAGAAATTTCTATTTTTAGTAACCATGGCAACACCGTCCATCGAAATCAAAAACCGATGCACTAAATTATGTATCTTAGTGTAGTCTACTTGTGTGCCAAGTTATATTGAAATCGGACCAAAACTGTAGGAGGAGTAGCGTTTTAAAGGAATTTCACAGAAATTTCTATTTTTAGTAACCATGGCAACACCGTCCATCGAAATCAAAAACCGATGCACTAAATTATGTATCTTAGTGTAGTCTACTTGTGTGCCAAGTTATACTGAAATCGGACCAAAACTGTAGGAGGAGTAGCGTTTTAAAGGAATTTCACAGAAATTTCTATTTTTAGTAACCATGACAACACCGTCCATCGAAATCAAAAACCGATGCACTAAATTATGTATCTTAGTGTAGTCTACTTGTGTGCCAAGTTATATTGAAATCAGACCAAAACTGTAGGAGGAGTAGCGTTTTAAAGTAATTTCACAGAAATTTCTATTTTTAGTAACCATGGCAACACCGTCCATCAAAATCAAAAATCGATGCACTAAATTATGTATCTTAGTGTAGTCTACTTGTGTGCCAAGTTATATTGAAATCGGACTAAAACTGTAGGAGGAGTAGTGTTTTAAAGGAATTTCACAGAAATTTCTATTTTTAGTAACCATGGCAACACCGTCCATCGAAATCAAAAACCGATGCACTAAATTATGTATCTTAGTGTAGTCTACTTGTGTGCCAAGTTATATTGAAATCGGACCAAAACTGTAGGAGGAGTAGCGTTTTGAAAAATTGTTTACAGACAGACGGACAGACAGACAGACAGACAGACAGACGGACGGACGACGGACACCTTACTATCGCATAAGCTCTTCTGGTCTCTGACCAGTAGAGCTAACAAAAAATTCTGTGGATTTAGATTTAGACTGAATTCAATCAAAGCGCAGTTAACGCTAATCTTTATATTACCCATGACAGTGATACCGAGACAAACGATGTCAGCAGTGATAAGGGAAGGATCCAAAACTTTTACAGATTTAAATTTAAAGCTTTATGTTCAGAGTACAATGTGAGCCAGGTCTTTAATTTTTTTTTTTTTTGGGGGGGGGGGGCTGGGGGCATGATTTCAATATCCTACATGCTCAATAACAATGATGAATTTAAAATGAAACATGCTAGTATAATTATAGAAAATATACGAGTAAACAATAAACAAAGTAAAATAAAAAAGGAAATTAAAATAAATATTGGAATTAAATTGTAATCCTTAATTTTATGTTAGAAAGTATAAGTACGTCACAATATTATTAATTTCACCCATTTCATTGATCACGCAAGAGGTGTCAATGAAAAGCACAGGTTTTTTCCCATAAATATATGTCTTACGATATATACGGGTGGAATGGGCTTATCCACCCGTTTTCAATGTGTTATATATAAACATCTCAAGTGCACCCCAGGAAGTAGCCTCCTATGCCCCGAAAAAGAATAGTTCCTGACAAAAAAAAAAATATTTATTTACAAAGTACATAAAATTTACTAGGCACAGGTAACAAAGTTGTAAAAATAGGCTGGAAGACCCCCCACCCCACCCCACCCCCCCAAAAAAAACTCTCAAAAGAAATAAAAATTAATTTCATATGCATGAAACAATTAACATCTTGACTGGTCGATAACCGTGGTGTGATACCTGGAATATGTAGGGTATGGTATTAAAATAATTGCTCATATTAAAGGAAATTAATCCTATAATTATCGATAACATCCGAAGAAAATATTTGTATAAGTAAATATTTTTATTAGATCCACCTCTCTAAGATTCTGCTGTGCTGTCCAGACAACTCTAGAAATTTTACACCATGACTGTACCGGTGCCTGATTGACAACATCCACGACTGTACCTGTCCAGTACACACACTTTATTCTACATCCCTGACTGTACCAGTGCTTATAAACAACATCCATGACTGTACCCATGCCTTATAAACAACATCCCTGACTGTACCTGTGCCTTATAAACAACATCCCTGACTGTACCTGTGCCTTATAAACAACATCCCTGACTGTACCTGTGCCTTATAAACAACATCCATGACTGTACCTGTCCAGTACACACACTTTATTTTACATCCATGACTGTACCTGTGCCTTATAAACAACATCCCTGACTGTATCTGTGCCTTATAAACAACATCCACGACTGTACCTGTACCTTATAAACAACATCCATGACTGTACCTGTGCCTTATAAACAACGTCCATGACTGTACCTGTCCAGTACACACACTTTATTTTACATCCATGACTGTACCTGTGCCTTATAAACAACATCCCTGACTGTATCTGTGCCTTATAAACAACATCCACGACTGTACCTGTACCTTATAAACAACATCCCTGACTGTACCTGTGCCTTATAAACAACATCCACGACTGTACCTGTACCTTATAAACAACATCCCTGACTGTACCTGTGCCTTATAAACAACATCCATGACTGTACCTGTCCAGTACACACACTTTATTCTACATCCATGACTGTACCTGTGCTTTATAAACAGCATCCACGACTGTACCTATCCAGTACACACACTTTATTCTACATCGATTACTGTACCTGTGCCTTATAAACAACATCCACGAAAGTACCTGTGCAGTATACACATCTTACTCTACATCCCTGACTGTATCTGTGCCTTATTAACAACATCCACGACTGTACCTGTCCAGTACACACACTTTATTCTACATCCATGA